CCCTCCCACTTGGCGCACACCGCATCTCATGATACTATCAGTAGGTAGATTGATATCAGTCCAAGTGCCCAAGGCCGTCATATCATCAATTCGTATCGTTACGTGTCGTGACTCTGTCTACTTGGCCGTCGAAGCAAAGCCCAACCTAGCCAAGCCAGTCGACAGCCCCCCCGTTTATATCCCACAAGAATGAATCCAAACCCACCCCCGGCACATCCAAGCCGACAAACTCCTGTCCCCTACATCGAGATCCCTTCCTCCTCTTTGCATGCAGCAGTAGCACCCTCGGGATCGGAGAACGTCGCGCGCACCCCCAAGCCGCTGATGCTTGCCAGCCCCCTTTTCCTTGTTTCACGATGCCCATTCCTTCTGCTCCCTGGTCTCTCTCCCCAATGGAGGTCATGTCATGCTGCATGGTCCCGTGTCGTCTCGACACGTCCCTCCAATCGAGCATCGCCGTAGTAGCGTAGAGCAGACAGGGGTTGTTTTGCTTAGTAGCGGCGATCTGTGAACAATGTAGATTTTCATTAGTTATCAGTACAGTAGCGAAGAGGGAGAAGAAGAAAGGGCAAAAGAAGAAGAAGAGGTCAATGGATGCATCGCAGTCGTCGCCACAGCCCAGTCACCATCTATCTTGTTTGTCTTGCTCTTTGCCAGCCAGATCCACGCAGTACTTAGTGCAGCAGCGTAAATGAAAACCCTTTGCCTATCCATGGCGCACTCCTCATGTCGTGTAATGTCGTTGCTCATCAAAGTCGTCAGGCACTATATGAGAGAGCACCCGTCTCACCTTGCACGGCCGCTCATGTAGGGCGCCGGCAAGGTGTTGGAACGGTACGGATTCCCGTCATAGTACCGCGGCTCGTCGTAGTAGTAGTCGTCGTCCGACTCATAGCCGTCGTCGTAGTAGCCTCTCCGGTCGGGGGTCGCCCAGCTGTCCGCCCGCCCGCGCGGCTGGCCGCCGACGCTCTGGTGCCTCTGGCGCCGCTGGACGCGCTTCTCGTGCCGGCGCGCCTTCTCCTCCTGGAAGTGCTTGCACTCGTGCGTCATCTCCTTGGCCTCCTTGAGCTCGTCGACGGCGCCCTTGACCCCCATGGCGGCGATGCCGATGGACGCTGCATCCTGCATGATCGCCTTGGTCTTGAGCTTGCGCGCCTCGGCCGGACTCAGACGTCCTTCCCGCACGGCCTTTTGCCGCACGGCTCTCTTCTCCATGCTCTGGTACACCCCATGTGCTGCGTGGATCGTGGCGACGGCTGCGAGGCCCGTTGTGATGATTTGCTTACCTTTCATTTTCTTCGCCTGCTTCTCATCGTCCGACGAGTCTCCCAGGTCCGACTCGGACGTATAGTTGGACCGGCCTCCTCCCCTGGTGCGCGATCTGTCCCGGCGTCCGCTGCGGTACGAACGCTCATCGTCGTAGTAGTCGCGCGCGTCACCCCCACGGCGCGAGCGAGGGTCGTCGTCGTACATGTCATCCGAGTAGCGACGGGTGCGGCGCGAGGACACCCGGTCATCAAAGTCGTCCTGCGTGCGACGGCGGTCGTCATCGGCGGCGGCGCCGGTCGCCGCGCTGCCAATGCCCAGCTTGGCCAGGCTGTTGCGAGCCTTGTCCACCACGCTGCGGCTACGGCTCCGGCTGCGACGACGGTCAGGCGAGCCATCCCGCGAGTAGTCATCATCGTCGTCTCGGCGGCGGCTGCGCGACCGCGACTGATGAGCGTCGTACGCCTTCTTGGCACCGAACGCACCAAGACCAGCCGTGGCGAGGGCGGCCAGGCCAGCGCCGCCGCCACCATTGCTGCTGCCACCGCGGGAGCGGGAGCGGGCGCGCGAACGGGAGCGGCTGCGTCCTGTGGCCTTGTCCTCCTCAATTTCATCCTTGGAGCCATTGACGAGGCGGTTACCGATCAGACCACCGATGACGGACTGTACCATGCCGAGCTTGCCATGATCCGCATCCTGCGCCGCGTCGACGGTGGCCGCGCCGGCGGCGGCCGTCATGACACGCTTGGCCTTCTCGCCCTTCCAGCTGCCAGGTTCCTTGGAGACGCGGAAGGCCTCGGTGGCGCCGGCCAACAGAGACGCCATGGCTGCCTTTTGCATCTTGTTGGCGCCGTCACCGCGCGAGCGCGAGCGGGACCTCGAGCTCCGACGGCTGCGCGTGTCGGACCGGTCGTCCTTGTCGCCGCCCCCCGTCAGAGACTTGACGGCGGCGCCGAGGCCGGTGGCCGCGAGGGCGCTCTCCAGGAAGTTCTTGTTGCCCTTCCTGTCGTCGTCGTCGTCCGAGTAGTATTCGCTCACGTGGCCGTCGCGGCCACGGTGCAGGATGTAAGTCGCCTTCTGGTCCTTCCTGGCCTGCTGCTTGTTGTAGAACTCGGTGCCCTGGTAGGCGGCAAAGGCACCGACACCAGCGAGGGCCGCCGTCGAGAGCATGTTGCGCTGGACGTCGCCCCTGTCCTGCTTGGCCTCGTGTCGATCGTAGAGCTCCTTTCCACCGGCCAGCAGGGCCGCACCAGCGACGGCGGCCATGATCTTCTCCTCCTTGGATATGGCCTTGTGCTTGGACTTGTGCCCGCGCTCCTCCTCGTAGTAGGAGGATGTGCGGCTGTCCATGCCCCGGCGCGAGCGACGGTCGTAGTCCCGGTCTCTGCGGTAGTCGTCGTAGTAGTCATCATCGTAGTACGGCTCGGCTGAGCGCGCCCGCCGAATGTCGCGGCTGCCTGTGGGCGGCGGGAACTCCCTGCGGATTTCCTCGACGGAGAGGTCACTGTCCTCGCGGCGAGGCTCGCGGGGGACGAGCTCGCGGTGCGATGTGCGATATTCGCGGGTCTCGAGATAGCGAGGGTCACGCTCTTCGCGGCGCTCCTCGCGAACGTAACGGCGGGGATAGTCCCGCTCGTACTCGTAAGCTGACATCCGATGTGGCGTGCTAGCTCGTGCTGTCCGGGTAATCTCTTTGTAAATGTGTACGGTACGTACGTACGTAGGTAGTTGCTTGCTTGGATGAAAGGAGCCGGTCGGTGTAGAAACGCAACGACGATCAAGTAAGTCTGATTGCGGGCTATGCAAGAGAGAGAAATGATGCAAGCAACCCTTTGGGATATGTCGAGCAGGATGACTGCACTGGACTGGAAGAGGAGGGCAGCGCCCAGCTAAGGTAGTCTGGGTAGACTAGACCAGGGTAGATGCAGGACAGGAGGAGGGCTTATTGGCGGGCTGACCCACGCAGCGCAAGCAATGTACATGGACAGGTAAGCAAGGCAATGATGCTGGGAAGAAGAAGAGCAGAAAGAAGCACGTCTATGGGTGCTCAACAGAGGCCTAGCTTGCTCGACCAGAGCCCTCCTGTCCCTCTCTGCGGCAGTAAACAGGGCCGAATGATGCTGGCGTTTTTGCGTACGCAGAGACAGAAGCTCCCAGGCCAGGATGATGACTTTTGAAGGGCGAAGCGGGGCAGCAACGACGTAATGCGAACCACATGGACCGATGCGAGACTGGCCATGGGCCAACGACGAGGGCGAGTGACCTCTCCAGCCTCCTTCTCTGCAGGCGTACCAGTACGTGCGGATACGTAGGCGCATTTGAGACAGAAGAGTCTCGATGCTCTCTCCGTCGTGAGCTGCCCGGCATTCCCCTGCTGGCCTACACCCACACGCCTCTCAACATGTCAATGTTGGGCACACTGGCCGTCGAGACCAAGTTCGAACCAGTCTTGTTGGGCCTTGGTCGCGGCCATTGGGCATGGCGCACTATGTTGGGCGCGAAGCTGGGGCGGTCGCAGCCTCGCAGTGACTGCGGTGGTATAATTCAGACTGGACCGTGTCTTACGTGTCGCTGTCGGCAGCGCGCCGCAGACTCGCTGCAGCAGTTCTTGGACCTGGCATCCATCAACGGGCAGCGCAAAAGTGAAGGACTTGTTGCGGGCGTCTTGTCACTTGTGAGCAGCTGAGCCACATCTCGGGCGTCGACCCCGCCCAGCCACACTATGACATCACAGGCCAGCCAGACCTCATCAGGGACTTGAATTGAAGCAAACCAAGCATGGCGCCTAATCAATCAAATCACCCATCAAGTTGGCTCACGCGTGCTGATATTGAACTTGTCGACACACAGAAACCACCTTCCAGACGCCTGCGTGTGTGCCCTGGTGCTAAGAATATCACCGTTGCCGATCATCACCTGCCCCGACACTGCGTGAACCAACCACCACACAGCCAGGCCAGAGGCTGTGAGACCGCAGGCCAGCATCTGCCAGCGCCAAGCTTTCCGAGAGCTGCCTTTCTGGGCTTTAACTTACGTAGCGAGTACTTAATTCTGACGACTCCGTCAAGACTGATCATCATCGCGGAGGATATACTGGAACAAAGTGCCGCTAGAGAGATCCTCCCCTCCCCTCATTGAGGTGTCAGGTAATAGCCCATTATATGGCACTTCCCTGACTGGCACAGGAAGTGGGATCGTGTCAATTTTCACACATCAGGCTGCCCGGTCAATCAGCCGCTGAATGAGTGTTAAACGCCCACAACCACGCACGACATGAAAGACCCCGACCCACGGCCAGGCGTCCAGGCCACAGCAGCCGTGAATACCCTCCAACCCGCACTGCGATGAGCCGTTTCAGAGTCCAGTTTTCGCTGCAGTGACAGTATACCTTACAGCCTTCCCTTCTCAGCGAGTCCCCACGGTAACCAACGCACATCCCCTCCACGCAATTCGTTCGTTATGGCGATCGCTGGGGCGCTAACACCACCATCCAAGTCCCGACCAGCCAACAACACGGCTTCTGGGGTTGCAAGAACAGACAGGTTCTCGTATATATGAATAGCAATGCTTGCCCGCATATTGCTTGGTTCCTACTTCCGATATTCGTCTCCCACGACCATCGTTTTGTGCTCTCGTTACCTGCTATCCCACCTGCACATCCACTACGAGTACCTTAGAAACTTGGACCCTGAATTCGCTTATACAACCACCACACACTTTCAACGTCGCTCATCATGCGTTCCGCTCTCTTTGCTGCTGCTTCCTTGGCCCTGACAGCCTCGGCCTCCAAGATCAAGTATGTTTCTCACAAACTGCGCGCCCATCCATCGTTACCCTCCTCAAGCTAACAACCTCTCCCTCTCACAGGCGCCAGGGTGACTTCACGCTCCCCGTCGAGCCAAATACCTGGACCTCGGACGGCGTCGTCCACACCGGCATCCCCCTCGGCACCTTCACAGAGACCAACACCAACACGGACGTGTTCGTCCCTACTACCGTGCCCCTCGAGACGCCCACCATGTCAGACGACACCCCGTAAGCCCACACAAGCCTCCCATCTCACTCATCAGTCCCAAATGCGCTGACATGACCACGCCAAACAGTATCGTGACCGTCACCACCCCAGCAGAGACCGTCACCTACACGACGCCCATTGGCAGCAGCAGCACCACCGTCACCTCCCCCGCTGAGACCACAACCATGACCACATTCGTCACCGAGACGGACGCCACCACCGAGACTGAGTCGCCCACCGAGACTGACGAGGACGGCAACCCCGTCGAGACGGACGGCGGTGACAACGAGGACGAGCCAGGCGCAGCGGCACTCGCCAGGCCGTTTACCGGTGCTCTCGGCGCCATTGCTGCTGTCGGCATCGCCATGGCCCTGTGAGGCACTCAGCAAGGCGTGAACATGAGCCAACCACTGGAACAAAATAGGAACAAGGCGGGCGGGCACCTGGAGGAGTTCACTCATTTCCCGCTGTGTTAATTAGCATGCGAATCATATAGCTTTGAGCCATAATTGTCTTGTCATGTACGAATCGACACAATTCACACACACTCACTCTTCATGCACATGTCCTGTTACAATATGTAATAGTTTTTGTTTTTATATGTACTGCCAAAACCAAATGGTAAATCAAAACGCAGAATCCCCCTTTGCCTGAACTGACTGGACCCCCTGTGCCTCTTGGTAATCGTACAATATCTCTTTGAGTATGATAGACGGGGAAAGGGAAAAAAAGGGGGGGGGGAGGATGCCAGCGAGAGAGAGAGAGAGAGAGAACGAAAATCATTGTCCATCATCTATGTGCAACTGCAATGCATAGTAACCAAGCCTGAGAAAGAGACAGAAGAACACCTTTTCCGATCCTCTGAAAGAAATGTAACAAGCAGGAAATGCCACCTTTTTTTTTTGTTGGAGTAGAAGCCCTGGTTGATGCATCCGAGACAGAAAGGTCCCTCCTCGCACAAGTGTTGATGCTTTTCCACAATAATCCCCCCTTTTTGTTTTTTGCTGTTCTGTGAAAATTTTGAACTCCGGTGATGGTATAGGCCATCATGGATGTGTGAAAAAGAAATCGAAAGTCTAGCATTGCGGCCGTAAGTACGCAAGCGGCCAATGCTGGTATATCGACAATAGAGCACCGGTGAAGAGGCGAGAAACAGACAACTTCCCAAGCCAAGTGGCTCTTCTGATTCACCCATTCTCTTCACCTGGTCCGTACGCTGCAAGCCTCGTCCACATGGAGACCACCCGTTCCCTCGCGAGAACAGCCAGCTCGATGCGTCAGCTGACAGCGTCCAGTTTTGCGCTCTGACAACCAAACCCCCGTGGCGGCTCGGTTCGTGCCAAGGTTCCGTGCTCGTCCTGATCATGCAAAGTCCATTGTATGAGCACAAGCGCTCTCAAAAGTGGCGCCCATACATCATCGTCGTTTTTTTTTCAAATCGCTGAAATCAAAAGCAATGCCAATTGCCCAGCATCTACACGAAGCTCGTGCTGATGGACACGCCCCGCCGAGCCCCTCCTGGAGCTGGCTATCATGTCGTTCGTGTGGTGTGGTGTGGTGGCCATGATCACAAGTCCAAGACTGCGCGTTTCGCCCATATGTCACAAGATGCTGCTGCAAGAACGAATTGAAAGTAGATGTATGGTCAAAGTTGCTTCGTGAGAGTCCGCAAAGACACCCTCAACGTATCACACCGCAAGGTGAGACAACGCTCATGAGAGCCCGGCGGCTTGGGCGTTGTCGTCATGGGCAACACCATTGACGGCGGCAGCCGACACGTGCCCGTTCGGCAGTCCAGCAGCTTGAGCGGGCGCAAAGTCGGGGACCTCGGCAGAGAGCTGCGTGGCGGCTCCGTTCCCGTTGGGCATGCCGTTCGCCATGTTGTAGCTGTGTGCGTCGGCGAAATGCTGCTGGTGGTATTCCTGCTGCGAGCCCATGCCATAAGGCGATTGCATCCCGTTGAACTGACCCTGCTGGGGGTACTGGTAGGCACGGCTCTTGTAGGTGACCTTGGCTGGGCCATCGGTGCGGGCCAGCTCGTCGCGCTCCTGCGTAGGGAGAACCCAGGTCTGCCAGCCGTCGCGGCGGCGAAGACGCTCAGTACCGTCCGGCTCGACAATGTAGTCAATGACCTCTGACGCCTCGCAGACAGCACGCACAATCGAGATGTCCGAGGCAATCTCCCGCATGCGCTTGAATGCAGTAATGAAGAGGAGTGGCACGTAGCCTTGACCATCCATATGCCTGCGCAAGAAGACATCCTTGCACAGGTTCTCAATTGAGAAGTAGTACTCGATCTGCTTCAGCAGCACGCCGGCAAGCATGGGGTCCATGTATGGTGTCTGCGGGTAGGCCACGGCGGACATGGGCATCTGGTAGTCATAAGGAGCGTAGTGCGTCTGCACAGGAGGAAGACGAGTACCACCGTTGGGGAGCGACATGCGGTGATAGTTGTTTCCACCGCGCGCGCCACGGCCGCCTCGCGGCGCGGGTGGCATGTACATTTGACCCTGGCCGTGTCCACCGCGAAGAGGAGGGCTATAAGGGCCCGATGTCCGACTACCCATGTTCCCGTTGGAGAACGAAGCACCCGTAGCGTTCGACGAACTCTGGTGCTGCGAGTGCCCGTTCAAACTGTGGTGACCACCCCGACCACGGTATCCACCACGGCCGCGCTCACTGCGCGGTTCGCGAGCGGCAGGCTGTTGCTCCTACATCATATTAGTATTGCAGACGAGAACGATAGACATTGGACACTTACTGTTTGCTGGCTAGATGCGACGTCCTTAACACGGTCTCCGGCGGTGTTGTGAGCAGGCTTGCGCTGCTCGCCCCGAGCCGGAGCACCTTCAGTGGGGGCGCGCTTGCTGGCGGGTGGCTGGGAGGAGTTGCGACCACCAGCGCTACCTGCCTCCCTGGTGCGATCTCTGGTCTCGGTGGACTTGGTCGGTGTAGTAGCGGTGGCCTTCTCACCACCCTGAGCCGCAGTGGATGATCTGCTGCTACCAGTACCCTTGGCGCCGCCACGAGGCTTGGAGCTGCGCATCTGTGGGAGTTGCGTCTCAAACGCAACGGTTGGCACGTAATCGTACTTGACCCACTCGTTCTTCTGGCGAGGCTTTGGTGCGCTCTCGTCCTTGACTTCCTTGTCGGCAGCCTTTTCAGCTACCTTCTTCGGCTCCTCAGAGGTGGCGGTCTCGGGCGTAGGCCAAGAGACGGCATCAGCTACCGACGGAGGGGCACCAGCCTTGGGATCACGGGTCTCACGGATAGGGATCCGGTTGCCACGGCTGCCGTTGCGCTCCGACTTCTCAGCAGGGCGCGGCGCAGGCTTGACTCCGTTGACATCGGAGGTGCTCTTGGCATTGCTGCTGTTGTTTGCAGCGGGCTTGGGGCCAGCATTCTGGTCAATGGGCACAGAGCTTGCCGTGGCTGGCGTTTCTGACTTTGGCTTGACCTGCGCAGCTTTTCTTTGCTGCCAGATGTTGACTGTGGGGATAGGTGCCTCCGAGAGTTCGATCTTGGGCGCCTCGGGCTCGTCTTTGCTCTGCTCTGAGCTGGGAGTCGCGTCGCCGGCCTGCTTCTCTGCCGGCTTGCCTTTCCTGCCTTTGCGCTGCCTCCTCGAATCCTGCTCATCGACTGAGCGGGTAGCCGCGCTCGACGATCGCGCACTCTTTTCTGCCTGTCTCCAAGGCTGATCTAACCGGCTGACCTCTCCGTCGCGCTTTGCCTCTGGGCGCTTCTCGGGGGCGGACTCGGTCGTCTGCGCCTCGCTGACTGCGGAAACGCTGTCATTATCATGCCTCTCGGCGCTGGTTGTGGAGGTATCGGTAGATGGCGCTGAGTGTGCCGTTTGGCTGGAGGGCTCTTGCGAGCTGGAGGATTTCTCCTCGACTGGGGCGCTGGGAGCGTCGTCTGTTCCGTTCATTTCTGAGGCAGCCGACTGATTCGCAGCTTGGCTTTGCGCTGGTGTGCCCTGGCCTTTCGCGGCCTGAGCATATGAAAACGAGGATGCAGCAGCCATCTCGGTAGTTGATGAGCCAAAGCTCATTTCAAAAGGGGTATCGAAAGGTGTGGTGGTGGGAAGTTTTGGTCGTGTGCAAATAAGATCGAATCGTCCGAACTCAAAACGAGACCGAAGACGGGTCCGAATTATTCCGCTGAAGAGCTCGAGTGCCCTGAAGATCCGGGTTCGAGCTCGAGGAAGACAAGGGTCGAGTCTGCGTGTGCGGAATCGACTTGAATTGGTTGGGTGCGCAAGGCGTGAACAAAGTTCGCAATGTCGGTCTCGCTGTACGCTTGGGAAACCTAAATCTCTCAATAGACGAGCCAACTAAGTAAGTAGTATGGTCCAGCTGGTGAGTCACGAGTCGGCCGAAGGGATGCGAGCTCGTGGGCGAAGGAATCGAAAGACGCGGTGGTGTTGACGGCTGACTGTGTGGTATGTAGGTCGAGCCGGATGGCACTGCCGGGTACAAATAAGGCAAGTGCCTGCGGTACGCGAGGAGGTCCGACTCTGCTGAGGCAAGCGCTCACAAACAGAGGCAGGAGCAAACTGGCACAAGCAGGCCGGATGTCGCGCAGCTGTGGCCGTGGGGCAAACAGCTTGGTTGGTACGTTGGCTGGGGGAACTGGAGACCTCGGTGAAGCTGATGCAGTAGGCTGCGTGCGTGCTCGCTTGTCCTGGCCAAGTGGGAGGATTGGCGTAGTATTCACTTGTAGGAGGGGGCCGCGAAAAGAGGCGTGGTGAACCCGAATGCGCAACTGGGGGTATGACAAAGCTGTCAAAGGGCCAGTCGGTGATGCGTACTCGAGAAAAGGGACCTGAGCAAGGAGTCAGGAAGAAGGAAAGAGAGGGTTGACGTCGGGTAGGGTTTAGTGAGAAAAAATCCAAAGGGACCCGACTGACGAAAATGAATCCCGGAGGTGATTTAATTTTGCGCTCTCGGGCAGGGCAGAGTGCGGGCAGAGTGCGGTTGTGTGTGGGTAGTAGTACGTAGTAGTATCCGTAGTAGGCGGCGGTTTGGGGTGGATAATTGAGCGTCTCTTCAGCGCCTTTTTATCTTCTCAAGAATCTCAAGAAGTCCTGCTGGCCACTTTTTAAGTTGAATTTGCTGCCCATTTATGCTTTTGTGTACAGGGTCTCCATCACCGCTGGAACAGACTGCGGAATCACAAATTGACCTCTGGCCACGCATCACAAGTTGGAGGTGTAATTAATTCGCAGTGACCGGCGGCGGCCTAATCAATGTTTAATGGGGGACATGATGACCACCCAGACAGGCAGGCGGCGGGCAGCCTCGGGCAGCCTGAGGCACTAGAAGTACAACTGCAGTGGGCATGCCGCCTGGCTGGCCATTCCCCTCTTGTCGAATGCAAAAATTCCTCAAATTAATCCACTTGCTTGCAAGAGGGCGACAATTCTTTGCAGGCCTTGGCGGCATCTGCGTGCGTACGTCGTACGAGCAGTCAATCCGGGTGATGGCCCCGGCGCTGGGGTGACTGCATTTCAGTGGTCTGCGGGCGAGTAATTCAGTGGATGACCGTTGCTAAAGTAAAGTAATAAGGTAGCAAGCTTCAACCATCAACAGGGGACTGAACCCGTGACAGGCGGACTGTGTCAGCTGAGCTTAATCAGCGACTATTACCTTGAATCGAATAAAAAGTGTATCTCCTTGTTAGCAGTTCAATGTCTAAATACTTTAATACTACTGCCCAACAAATCTGGTATTGTTAGTGCTCCGTAGTGCGGTGCTGAAGAAAAGTGTTGCTCACAAAACCACACCTCATCGTCATGTGATCTTGACGCCCTCGCTAACATCATCGTCGGACTTTCGGCGCATGGATCACCGAAGGACACTATGAGGACTTGAACCATGTCCCCGCGGCTGGAATAAAGCCTTCACGTCCGAAGCAAGTAGTCGCTGCCATACTGCGGTGATCTCCTAGGAATCACGCTTCTCGATAATAGTATAGGGCTACTTTAACGGTCTCAAGTACCGAAAGGGAAAGTTATACTCTCATGCTAGCTCTCGCAGTTTGTCTCCGCCCACTCGCGCTGCTACGGTCCCATGAACACCATCGTCACGACTTCCAGGGACTCTTGGACGTAGATAGAAGAATATGACGCGATGGGTTCCCCAAAAAGCCCTTAAGACCGACTGCGGATGATGTCGCGCAATAGGCCAAGTTCAGGGTCGTATTGCAACCCACCTCAGGAAACCGAGAGCAACCCCGTCCGTCATTTTTCACGCAGTCTTTGCAGTACACCCGCTTATTGTACAAGAACATCTCAGAAATCAACATACAAGGCTACGCCTGATGAATCAACCCATCCATGACGCAGCCTGGCGTGCGCCATAGGTAGTGGCGAAGCGCAGGCCAGTCGAGCCCATGGGAAAGTAGCTGACCAAGTACCACACCAGGCACGCAAGCTGCACAATGGCCGCGAAAAGCGTCAGTATCGTGCTTTGAAGCTGGAGTTTGTTAGCCCACTGCAGTAATCGACATTCCGACGGCGCAACCATACCTTGATAGCAAAGACCAGCGTCAGACAGATGGAGCCAAAGTAACCAGCGGTGAAGGGTAGCCTGGGCGTCGACAGAAGATGATACACGTAGTTCATAGGGCCCATAACAGCAGCAAAGGATGCCAAGAACATGACAGAGCCGACGGACCACCTACTGAACATTAGCTCCGGACAGGTAGGGCTTTCAGCAACGACGACTGGGGGATGGAGGCAGAAAACTAGGAAGCTGGTGTCACGGCACTTGGTTGGGGGGCAGAGTGTGTGTGTCATGCGTGGCGATCACATGGGTATCATGGGAAAGTCAAAGGCGCTAAGGAAATCCCATGGTAGCTGATAGCACTTACAGAATGACGAACTTGCGCGGTCTGAGCGACAGAACCGGAAACAAGGTAAAACATATGACGAAACATGCGATGGCGGCGAGGTTGCATGCCGCAAAGACCATCAAACGGTCCCATCTGCTCACTGCGAGGATACCCAGTTAGCAAGCTTCGTATCGTGCATTGGCGCATCGAAGGGTATCACATGCAGCATCGGAAGCGTGGCTCTAGATGCAATGCACACACTCCCGACGCAGGGGCCCAACTGCGCTTGAGTGCAAAGGGTCGACTCACGGACAAACCAGCCTTCTTCCTCCTCTCGTCTCGAAGGCGCTGGCAGAGGTGCCCCTTGGTTTTCGGCGGTCGGCAAGCGAACATAGCCGGACCCTTGGAAAGGGTTCATGTTTCTGATGGAGGACAGAAGCCCTGTCTGTGGTGCTGTGTTCACCGGCTCATCGCGGCGGCTCCATCCTAGGGAGTTGAACGAGTCCCGGAGCGACTGTTGCGCCATGGTGACAGTTGCGATTCTGATGTTTCGGAAAGCTAAGCGACAATGTTGACTGGTAGACCGGCGCAGTTCGGTTCGGGTGGGAGAGGAAGCTCCACTACCTGATGAAGATGAGGTCAGTCGCAAGCACAGAAAGAAAGAAAGGAACGCCTCCGGGGAGGGGTGGGGGGACCAGGGTCAAATCAGTGAACGGCCAGCTTCATCAACAAGCCTCGTGTCCACACAAGAGGCAACAGTCAGGGAGATAGATGCCTACCAATGTGCAGCAAGGCAGCAGCTCGATAGTTTCGCCACCAAATGTCCGACTTGGAGCTAACACGAGCGCGAGCAGGGAAGCTAGGAAAGAGGGTACGGGACGAGACCGCGCGTACCGCAAGGAAAGACGGGCTGAGGCCGCAGAAATGGCGGTGATGGTCGCCTCCGCGATGACTCGTGAGGTAATGCGAAGAACGGAGGGTCGTGGCGATGCGACCAACCTAAACTCAGGTGGAGCTTGCCGAGCGTTTGGGGGGACGACGGACTGGAGGTGTCTTGCGCAGAGGGTCTGGTCTTGGGACACGCTGAGGAGGAGGAGGAGGTGTGGTGTGGTGTGGAAGGCTGAAGGTCGAGTTGACGGTAGCTCCAAGTCCCGTCACGTCTAGACGAGTGAGGTTGGCGAAAGCGATCCCCAGGCGGGTGCGTATCGATTAGATGCGTGCGTCTCATTGGCCAGCAGCCTGGCAGGTGGCACCTTTCACCACTGAAGAGTGACGGGCCGGACGCCTCAGCGGCCCCACTGGCGTTGAATGCATACCAGTCTACCATAGCGGACGCGCATTCCCTAGGTATCTGTCATCATTTCAACAATGAACACGCTGCGCGAGACCCGTCGACCTCAGGTCTTCAGCTCACGTCCAGCGCACGTTGCGGCTACTGCTGTCTCAAGTCTCGACATTGTGAACAGGGTGGCGATCGTGACGATCACCGTGAGTGCGGCATCGCGGGGTCGACGGGAATCATGCATGAACCTGCGCGTTCGTCGACGCCAGAGCTGCCGCAACGCAACACTCTCCAGGCGCTGACGATTAGGACCAGTGCTTGCGTGCATCATCATGCGAGGCTAGCCTTCTGATACGATAGGGGTGGCGAGGCGTCCAAGAGGAAGCGGTGCAAGGCGCATACGCATACGGGGTGGGTGCGGATGCTTTAGCCCGATCGTCGTGTACGTACGTAGTCGCTGGAGCAGAGAGAGGCAAGGCTTGCTTGCAACCCAACCTCCGTAGGACTGACCTAGAGACGCGCATTTGAAGCCACGGTCATTCATGTTCACGCGCCCAATCCAGTTGCTGAGCCTGCGCGGCCTCGTGGGCAAGGCTGATGAGACGTGCAGCCTCGACGCATGACCGGTATTTACGATGGAAGAAGATGGGAAAGTGGACGATTGCCTGTTAGTAGCTCGATCTTGGTGCAGGACAAAGCAGCGTCCAAGGTCTTGGGGTGTCTTAGTTGCCGAGTCACGCTGAAGCTGAAGGACGCCCCCCCTCCCAGTATAAGTGATGGTGGAGGTGAGAGCGTGATAAGGTGGGCAGGGCGATGCGACCATAGCCTTGCGGGCTTGTCTATATGGCAAGTCAGAAGACGAAGAAGGGTGGCGTCCATAGTGTATCAAGAGTAGAGGACAGATGAGGACGGAAATGCATATTAATAGCCATCCCAGGTCACGTACATATATATATATGAAGAGCATGCTCACGTACAGTCCGTCCTCACAACGTTTCGATGGATTTATCGTTTCCGCAATCTGTGAGATTATTTTGCGACGCTAGAACACTCAACCGAAGCCAAGTTTCAGTCGCAACCAATATTCTCAAGCGCTTCCACGCCGAAGAGCTGCACACCCACTTCATCTGACGGAGACGGCGACACTCTCACCGCCTATCCGCCTCTCGACCATCCCAGCGTTATTGTGAGACTGCTGGATTCCGTTTCCGAACAATACACGGTCCATCAGCTATTGTCGAAGGTTGGAGCTACTACTTCTGAAACCATTTAGGCCGCGTCAAGAGGACATACACATTGTGCGCCGCTTACATAAGGTACTGCTTCGCCTCATCTTGCCTCGTCGCTGCCTTCAGATCGCTATTGAAGTCGGGCACCAGTTGGCACGTTCGCCTGGTTCATACCCAGCTTTCGCTCTCTCTCTCTTCATCATCAACATCTTCATTTTCCATGATACCGGTGCGACATTGCAGGTTTTACTCGAAGAAGACGCATCTCCAGCAGCTTCCCCACAGAGCCTACATCAACGACAGCTACATTGCGACTGCGACGATCTGCGACGCCTCTGTTCGGATACGACGCGGAGACCCTCCAACCAACACCGATCTACGCTGAGACCACGCTTAACGGACTTGTGTCCAATCCCGCCTCCCACTATTGAGACTTGCATGAGGGGTGTCATATCGTCTTGCAATCCATCCTGGGAGTTCTTGGCTACACGGCTGCTCCTGGCATACCGGTGCAACCTGCTTCTGTCATTCTGTCGGTCGGCGAGGTTCGACCTGTCGCATTTGGCAGCGCTTGAATCCTCCGGATTCCAAGCTACGAGGCGAGGCAGCCAGACGTTGACGCCATCATTGAAGGTGAGTCGCTCTATTCTCTCTCCTCTGCGCCTTGCCGTCTGCCCACTGGGCGCTGGCCACTTTGGGCATCGTGCATCTGGTGCTGTACGCCGAGCACTGTCCAAGAAGTCGGCGAGCTCATCAGGCCTGGCTTGCTACTTTTGGCCTCTCCTCCCTAACGATGTAGTCAAGGACGTCCTACAAACCCTCTCCCTGTGCCCTTTACCTCGCCTGTGCGGACTCAGCCGCGCTAGCCCAGAAAGCGCCAAGTCTGATCCATTGGCACCGACTGAAGCTGTCTCACTGCAGGCCAGATCTTTATCTTTGGACAAGGTGCTAATACACGATCCGCAGTTCCCCCGTCCATCCATCTTGCTGGCCCATTAATTACCACATTCCACAACCGAGCGCCTCCCCACCAGAGTCACAACAACCGCCTACGACTCGTGTATCAGCTCACCGCTACCTGATTCCAACAACAGCTCACGCCTTGGGAGTGTGGCTCTAGCCGACATCCGGCTTCCACCAGCAGCGAAAGAGCTTAGCACCAGCACGACAGCTGGCCCCCCAGAGAAAGCACACCAGGCCATTCACAGCCGGGTGGTCCATTTCCCTTCCCACCGACATACATCTCGAAGCTGGAACCCCTCCACTCCGAGGTCGCATCTATCATTCTTCCCTATCATCAGATCAGGCTACCACATCGCGCGCGCGACAGATTACTTCAAGTATCTCCATCGTGCATGGCCTCGCTGTAAGGTCTACAATAACTATTGTATCGTATCAGCACATGCAGCAGGTCAGTTTGCCTCCTTTGCGCCAAACCCCAGAGCCCTTACCCTTGCCGCCGTCCAACTCCTTTCACCAAGCAACGTATGACGCACTTGTGCTACAGCATACAGCAATTTTTCTATTTTTCTATTGAAAGATTGTCATAGCCAACTTCAAGCGAACGCGACTGCAGAGCCCCGTCGCTGACCAGCTGTCTAGTGATATCTCCCGAGCTATTGTGCGAAACGCTATCTGCAACTTGCCGCAGCGCCCGACGAACGGTGCATTTGTCCAGTGGTCATCGCCCACTTGCTACGCGATTCCGTTGCCCACCTCCGTCTACATAAAGCTTTTGACGGTTCGAGATGGCCCAGCACGGGTTCTCGCAATTTGGTGCTGCCCCAAACGGGGGTGGCATTGATCCCAACAACCTTTCTATGGGGGGTTCATACAACCCAAACTTCGGCAACGACAACTTCGGCTCGCACGCCAACAACAATGGTGGCAACGGCAGCTCAAGCGCCTTTCTTGCTGATGAAGATCTTCTTGACGGACTAGGCGGCGACCAGGGAGCTGTGCAAAACAACGGCCAGGACTTCTCGGGCATGAACATGGGCTTCTCCCAGGACGCATATCAAGCCCACCAGCGTAATTCGGGCTTGCGCCTGGACTCAAATCAGCTCAACGGCTTCTCTAGTACGCCCGATGGCGACCCGATGCCTAGCCCATATACCGCAGGCTACACTGGCAACTTCCGACACATGCAGGGGATGCACTCCCCCATGTTCGCCAATGACGTGGACCCCAACGACCAGACCTACATGAATGCCCGCGCGAGAGCACGCATGTCCCAGCAGATGCAGCGCAAGCCGTCCAATACCGCCCGAAGCCCCATGACACCCAAGACAAACGCTATGCACAGCTTGTCTCTAGGGTCGAACGACTCACCCAACTTTGGACCGCAGTCGATCCGTACGCACGAGAAATCTCCTTCAGGCCAGTGGCTGAACACACCCACCGGCAGCTATCCGGCGTCGTACAACTCAGGGTTCGCCTCACCCCTGCAAGGCACCATGGTGCCTCCCATCGAAGAGGTCATGGGCAAGGCTGGCACATCCATGCCAGCCAAGTTGGGAGGCACTAACGGGCCAGGCTCCGCCGCCGTTTCCTCCCAAGAGGCGAAGCGCAAACGACGGCGCGAGTCTCACAACCTTGTCGAACGGCGTCGCCGTGACAACATCAACGAGCGGATCCAAGACCTCAGCAAATTAGTCCCCATGCACCGCCTGGAGGATGAAAAGATCCGGAAGCTGATTCAAAACGGCACACCGCTCTCGCCCACGCTCACCGGCATGTCCAACCCTTCCTCAGCCACCTCAGGTCTCGCTGGGCCCGGTGCTCGCCGCGCAACTGGGACCAGCGCTGGCAACATTACGACCGGCCTGCCCATCGAGGACAAGGACAAGGGACCCAACAAGGGCGACATTCTCAATGGAGCCGTGAGCTGGACTCGCGACCTCATGTGGATGCTTCACCTCAAGCTTCAACAGCAGGAGGAGCTCATGCAGACATTGAACGAGCTAGGCCACCCTTACCCATTTGAGGTGACAGATGACGAGCGGCGCATGCAATCTGAGTTGATAGAGGCCATGTCCAAGAACGACGCTGGCAACTTCTCCTACACACGCACAGCTGGGTCAGGGCTACGGGTGCCAAGCATCACAGACTACCGCGGCAACGCGGCGAATGCAGATGTGCCCCCTACGAGTCTTGATACGGTGGGCATCACCCCTCCGCATCACAGCAGCTCTGCCATTATCGATGATGACACCAACCAATTCTGGCATGATCCGGACGACAACGGGACCGGACACGCCCCCATCGACTTCAAAGATGACGATGACTACGGCATGGATCTCAACTAGGACTCGACATCGCACGCTTCATCAGGCTTCCACAGTCATGGCTACAATTTCAGCCTATCGGCACCCTCTTAATGCCGCCCCCAAGTAGGCTGCCACCTCTGCATCGTCATTCCACTTTCTCTACTACAGGTTATGGCGTTACCGGAACACAACTTGCTCGGCTCATTGGTGGGGCGACTCTGCATCTCGCACGGAATCATACACATGGCCAACATATATACAGCGCTTTCGACTTTTGATTTTTGTCTTGCATGTTGTACTGGGGTCTTGCTGCTTTCATCACTTTTGCACGTCCCTTGTTTCCCCAGCCCCCTCTGCGATACCTCGAGGCTCTTCAGGGGAGAGACCTCATTTTCCTTGACTTGTTTGCTTGCATGTTTGGCTGTTTGGTTGTTTGGCTTTATTTCGGTGGGAGACTACTGGGAATACCTCGCAAGTTTGGTCTTCGGGAGCAAGACATCAACGTCCCTGCTTGCCCGATGGCGGTGATTGTACCGTGGTACGGGGTCTGATTTCTGTTTCTTTTCTTTCAACAACGAACGTCATGGCTCGCCGGGTCTGCTGGCATCAGACGCGGATTTACGTTGCAACTGGGCTCACTCGTATCATCTGATTTAATTTGGTACTGGGCGCTCTCGCGCTCTGTTGACACATGAATCTTATTCCACTCCTATCTTTACCAGTGTCTTGTGCATAACACATACTCCGTCATATGCGTCAAAAGATTCCACACCTCCTTCCGCTTCATGTCCTCCTGCAGTGCCACTCTCTCCAAGGCGCAGCGACCGTCAAAGTACTTGCAGAAGAGCTGCCACGCCTGCTTGCCCCGATCGTCGGTGAATCTTTTTCCAATGGCAGACAAGTACCGAGCCTCCTTGCCCGTTGCCTTCTTTGCATCTAGAATTATGTGTGGCGTCAGGCCTTTAAGATGAGGTGCGTCGTTTAGCGATGGATGCGGCGTGGGTTGAGGCGGCGTCTTGCGGGCGTGGGTGATGGCTCGCTCCGTAGCACGGTGGTGCGCCTTGGTGGCGATGCGCTCGAGACGAGCTCGCTCGGCGACGTGTTCAGTTGATGACGGATTTGCGGGTGGCGATGAAGGCTGCTGCTGCTGCTGCTGCTGCTGTGCAGTATCAATGGTGGATGTCGGGGACAAGGGATGCTCGTGTTCCTCCACAATGGTCGGGGGCTTCGCCTGCTCCAGCGACGAGGTGGAGGCAGCCGCCAGATCCTCGGCCTCCATTTCGTAGTCAACCTCGTAGATGATTTCCGGCCATACGACGACGTAGGCATATGTGCAGAGCTGTGTCACCCACCCACGCCGCATCAGCCAGGCGAGCATGTGCAGGTACGAGGGGCGATGCGCCTTGCTGGGGCAAAAGTGCTTGTACGGGCGTGGGCTCTGACTCAGCTCGCCGAGAAAGTTGGGCAACGGGGGCGCCACGGGGAACAGGCGCTGCCACTCGACGCTGTCCTGCGGGAGACGTCGCGGGTCGCAGTTGGGGGACACAATATACACGTCTCTAGCGTGCAGGGGTGGGATGGCAATAGCGCGACGCCAGTAGATAAAGTGCTGGGCGAACCGGCGGACTTGGCTGAGGGTGAGGATGTTGCTCTGGGCGACCTGGTGAAAGGACATTGTCGGCTTGGACAGCCGCACGAATTCGACCATGGAGGCGGTGGACGGATCAGCGTCCGATTGGAGCTCCGCGATGATCTTCTTCTCATCGTCCATCAGGAGGAGAGCAAAGTTGCGGTCTAGGAAGCCGGGCTCCTCGAGTGTGTCTTGGCTCAGGAAAGCGTTGGCGGTCGTGAGCCAGAGGCCGCTCTGGTCACGACCCGAGTCTTCAGGAATGTCGGCCACGTAGAAGGGCACGGGGATCTGGAAAGATGGGGTCAGAATGCCGAGGGGCGTGTCGAGGTGGAGAGCCGCAATTTTGTTCTGGGAGACGGCCGTGTAGATTTCTTGCATGGAGGCTGCGAGCGACGAGATTTGCAGGATCTCCTTCCAGAGGCTGCTCATCTTCCTTTCTATTGGGAGAGATTGTCAGTCTACGCACTCACTCGGCTAGGGAGATATGTCTTCGTACGTTCTTCACGCGCCTTGTCCTTTGCCGCCAGGATTCGCTTCGACTCCTTCCAGATAAAGTCGCTCTGCTGCTGGCTGTACTTGTACGCCTTGTTGGCCTTCTTTACCACGTTGACGTAGAGCGAGTCCACCAGCTCCTTCACCTCGTGTGTCTTTGGTCTCAGGATGAAGACCAGGTTGAACATGGTCATGGAGCTTCGCTTTTCGTCTTCGTCGCCGTCCTTCTTCGAGTCCTTATCTTTCGAGTTGTCGGACAGCTTGCCAGACGACAGGTCGGCTTCGTTAGAGACGCCATGATCGTCCATGACAGTGGACGCCTTGTCCCCGTCATTGCCCTTGCCGGACTTCTTCTGCTTCTTCCACTTGCCATTCTCAGGTACGTGGATCGGATAGGAGACACAGTAGAGGGGGTCCAGAGACAGCTGGAACAGGGTCTTGTGGTAAGGCCTCGCAGGCGTCAGCATGCCAGCCAAGTCCCGTGCCGGAAAGCCAGCTACGTGCTCCCAGGGCACGATCTGCGAGCCCGAGTCTGTCACAATGTGCTCATCACGGTCCCACTGCCGGGGCAGCTGCTCGTTCGCGACCGAAGGATTGTGGTTTGCCGGTTGCACCAACCGCTCGAGCAGTATGTCCTCGAGATCGGCTCCGGCGCCCGTGTCGGTAGCATTGTGCTGAACCTGCGCCGGGTAGTGGAAGACAAAGGCCGGCCCGTCGCGCGAGCGGTTGATGACGAGCGCGACAGCGAGAAAGTTGTCGCTATTGACGGAGGACATGACCACTGCGCTTCGGCATGACGCTCCAGGCTTGCGACACGCCGAGCTCCAATGAGCGACCGAGCTGGCTCAGGCTGGTTGAGGGGTGCTTGTCCAGTCGCCCTGTCGATTGTGCACGGCGACGTCGGACCGTGGGGGTTGCTGTGAGGTCATGGTTGCGCGCCTGAGGTCCAACTACGGGGAGGTTAGGTTAGGATCGGCTCGTGAGGGCTAGTGTGGCTCAGTTTCTGGGTAATTTGCCGGCTGTGGCTGGTGCTCGCACCGGGAGGGCTACAGCGGCTGGCTTGGCACGATGCGGGGTTGCCAGTGGGCGACGAACTGGACGGGCGGCGGATGGATCAAGGACTGGACCCCTCATCTTAACGTAGCCCGCTGAGGTTCCCGCCAGCTCAGGGGACTGGACCTGTCGGGCGGGAACTGGCGTTTGTTGGACAAAGGTCAGGCTGCTCCGACCAGAAAAATAGCAGGAGAACCTGTCTGGATTCCTCGCAGTAGGGTCTCATCCCAGAGTAACGTCTCTCAGAAGAACTAGATTGCTGTGTCGCAAAGTCGAGCCAGTTGATTCTGGACTCTGGTCGCGTGCTCTCCACACTGCACTTCAGTCGTCCGCCGTAGAAAGCTGTGTAATTAATTCACAAATTGCAATCGGTAGGCAAGACGGCAACCGAATGCCGATGTAACTCTACCAGGACACGCTATAGGTCGGCAGGCATTTCTTACCCAGTATTTGTGGCCTCGCTTGTCTTTTATGGGCACAGATGCGACTACGTACCAAGTGTCCTCTTGGGCACTGCGCCGTTCATTTGTTGAATCAATTACAGCAGCCATTGCCTCCTCACCAGGCTTGGCGTGGCTCAAGGTGGGTTGGGTGGGATAAGCGACCGATAAGCCAAGAGGACAATAAAAGTATCTCACTCTATCATGGACTTTTGCTGCGGCGGGGCATGTCTTTTTCTATTCTACAGCATGAGCCCCGCCGGTCGTCGTACGTACCTTACGTAGTAGGTACTTTCACATGGCAAAACCGCCTGTCGCCAGTCATGGTTAATTCAGGCGGCCGGCCCACTTCGCTCCAAGACCCTCACTCAAGTCAAGGGGACTGGAGTCAAGCCACATTCAATCAAGTCCAGTCTGTTCTCATCAACCAACCGCACCTGTTCGCTCAGTCTTTAGCTACTAGCGACCGACTTTGCTCAAAAACCTCGCCTCCTTCGTCGCCCCCATACGCACAGACTTTACTTACTTACGTAGCCTCAGACCTCATCATCGCAATCACTAGACCCAGTGTCAGGTCGTGCACTCCCTTCCTGATAGAGCCTCGTTGTTCTCAATCCAGCATCACTTTGGTCCCTGACCAGACTCACGCTACCGAGTAGCCTCTATCGATACCATACGACAATTGGCCATCGCAGGGCAGCACACCGTTCATTTATTCATTCCAGAGACACTGGCGTGCGGACGGCAGACCCCTGAATTGAATGACTCGTTGCCCCTGAGTAGTCGTCGAAATTCCCCTCTTCTCTCATCGCATCTTATCGCAACCAACATCATCAAACCAAGTTTATTGGACATTGACTGCACAAGCCATGTCGCCGTCCGCGACTTGCGAGGGACTCGGCCACGTCCGCTACCTGCCCCTGAGATACGACGGCGCCAACTCACAAGCCTCTGCGCTGAAGCTCATCACAACGCTCATCCCAGAATGGTCCGGTGCTGACTCAAGCATCGAGTTCATTCGCTTCACCGACGGCATCACAAACACACTGCTCAAGGCAGTGAATCGACGTCCAGGACCCACAAAGGCTCAGGTAGATAAGGAAGCAGTATTACTGCGCGCCTATGGGAGCGGGACGGACATCTTGATCGACCGTGAACGCGAGGTCTCCAACCATGAGCTACTCATGAAGAACGGGCTGGCGCCCGAGTTGCTGGCGCGCTTCGAGAACGGGATGCTGTATCGGTTCATCCCCGGCACCCCCGCCCAGATGCAGGATCTAAAGGATCCAGCCATTCTCAAAGCCATCGCACGAAGACTGGCTGAGTGGCACGCGACGGTGCCTTGCATTTTCGGCCAACCCCCCGTCCACGGGAAACAGAACGGGATGCGGAACGGCTTCCAGAATGGCTACGGCGATAACGAAGTCGAGAGGACCATCCGGAACGCCGCGCCAGGAAAGCCTTTCCCGAACCTATGGACCACGATGCAGAAGTGGATCTTCGCCTTGCCGACAGGAACAGAGGAAGAACGGTCGAGGCAGGCGCTGCTACAGCGCGAGGTGGAAGAGTTGATTGAGAAGCTCAGCCAACGTCCAGGACTTGGCCACAACGGGGTACGCATAACAAGCTCTCATCTCACTCATGCACACGTGATGTCGCTGATCTGCGTTCGCTGAGAAGGGATTGAGGAGATCATAACATGCGCTAACTTGTGGAAACAGCTCGTCTTTGCCCATTGCGACCTCCTATGCGCCAACGTCATCATGCACCGTGAGGAAGACAAAACTGCCACGGTGAGCTTCATCGACTACGAGTATGCCACGCCATCCCCCGCCGCCTTTGACGTGGCCAACCACTTCGCAGAGTGGGCAGGATACGACTGTGACTACGCGGCTGTCCCCACTGTTTCCCAGCGCCGAGAATTTATCCACGAGTACATCGGCACCTACATCCAGCTCCTACCCGAGGAGGAACGACGCCAGCTCGACGCGGCGGAGGAGGAGCGCAAGTTGATGGAGGAGGTCGACGTCTTCCGTGGCGTACCGGGCTTCTACTGGGGCATCTGGTCGTCGATCCAGGCGACGATTTCGGACATTGACTTTGACTACGCCACGTACTCGGAGCTCCGCTTAGGCGAATACTGGGCTTGCAAGGCGGAGCAAGATGGCAGTCGCGCGGCGCAGGGCCTGCAGATGCCCTTGAGGGAGGAAACGTGGTCGCGAGACGAGCCGTCGCGCAATGGCACGGCGGGCGCATAAGCCTGCAGAGATCCCAGATGCGGTGTCTCACAATGTGTGTTGAGAGAGACAGGGAGATGGCCCAGTTGTGTGGTCAGCGGATGGAAGCTGTGATTATCAGGTTGGATCTAAAACCTGCGGCGAACGGCGAAAAGCACTAAACGTCCTGCGATCAGATGCAGGGTGCACGGCCACATGCAAAAGCGAAATGTATACGGAGTAATACGCATAGCACCATGGGGAAGACGGACAGCAGATCTACAAATCCGGCACCGAGCAGCACGAGGCAGCACTGGATCACCTATTACAGCCCCCGCACCCTGCATCCATACACCATCCACACCACAAGCGGTGGCACAGGCTGGCACAGGTGTGGGGTGAAGGGGGCTGTGGCGTTGTTTCTTTCATGTAGCGTTATCGGTGGGAGCTATGTCTGGCTTGGCCACTGACGGAGTAGGGTCTCTCACATGTCGTCGAGTCACCACGCTGCCAGACTCAACCAGCAGACAGGGGAACCTTTCCGTGGCACCTTTCATCAAGGGCCACACGGTCGTTCAGGGGACGTGCGATACATTAGACGGGCTAGCATTCATAGACCGGGAAACGCCAACGTCAGAAGGCGAATGACGGGATATCGAGACTCAAGTGCAACCTTTATCCTTTCTGGGGCATAGTTGCCGCGCACGTGAGGCCGTAATTGTTGAGCACAGGGTCCGCAAAGTGGCCACTGAGATCAGGTGAGGCCCCAGAATTTGAGTGAGTGAGTCAAGCTTGTGCAACGTGATACGTCCTAGCAGTCTGTTGGATATGTACGTAGTCTTCAACATGGATGTTGCCTCTACTTGACCGGTACAGACACACACCACAAGCACTGGATGTATAATAGCGGTCTGCGCGCGTGCGAGCGCGGATCAAGACCACATAGAGCGGTACAGTCAGACAGATTACACGCCAAAGCGCGCGCTCGTCTTGGACCACCGCGGATAAGGCAAGGTCAAGCGCGGAGCGGAAACGGTTCCGTACAGAAACTTTATCTTCGGGATCCCTCTTGACTCAATGACAAGACCAAGTAAGCACCTAGTAGACTAGACCGTGCGGCATTCTAATACCAGGTTCACCAAAGGCTCGGGAAAGGACCGTGCTTCGATCTTCAGAGTGGAGAGAATACTCGACTTGGGATAGTTTCCTTCATACGCACCAGCGATGTCCACTTCGGAGGTACACAGGTGATGACAGCCCAGACCCTTGAGGTGGCAACAGCAGAACAAGTGATGATGTTATCACAGTAATGGCCGGGTGAAAAGCTCGGATCTTTCCTCTTTATGGATGGATGCTCGAGCGGGGAAGCTTTGGAGCAAGTGGTCAAGAGCATCTGTGTCGGTGCTTGATCATCAGTCGGCCAGCTGAAGCCTTGCGGTGGGAAACGGAGGTGCATTGGGTGCGGTCTGTCTGGCGTGGCTGTCTACAAGCATACTTCGGGACCGCGAGCGTAAAACCACCAGGGTTCGAAATTTCGACAGGCGCATTCAGTGTAAAACTCACTGACGTTTTGGCGGCGCTGTCTGTTCAGGATGTATTTCAAATTACTTGCTGCGAGATCTGGAGCAGGGGGGCTACCTTAGGCTACCCGGGATGCCGCCACCACCCGCATAGAGATTGACAGCTACCCAAATAGCAGCCATCAGCTGATAAACAGCAGTTGCCGTCGCTTTTCTTGCTCTACGCCACAGTGAGGGGGAAGAATGAATGTGGTAGATTTGAATGGTTGGGGTCTCTGTGGTGGCACAGCACGGGCGACTCCCGTTGCCTCCTGCTCGAGCGCAGGACTCCGGGATCCCAGGCCCAGTAAATCGCCAGTCATGTTTGTTGGCGTCGGATCGGTCGTCGGCGCACACAGGACGGTCTTTGACAGGGATAGAGCAGGACTTTGGATCCTAGGGAACTGCCAGTCCGGGTTGGTCCAGGATTCAAGCCGCGGAATAATGAGGAGTAGAGACACTGCAGTGACTGCACCCTGTCTGTCGATCTTTCAAACGGAGGAAAGGTGGATAATGGTACATACTGAATATTAGACTACATTGATGTACTTGCGCCGGGGAATGGAGGACGGGTTGCCGGTGCGGATTCAAGGGCAACAACATCACTGATCGTGGACGGTACCGCGTAACATGAACAGCCTTGTTGGTGCCAAGCATTGAGCCGCGGGAGGCTTATGCTAGCAGCGCAGGGCCGCGCAGGGCCGCGCAGCAGGGGGCCGGACGGTTTCTTGAATCTTGATTGGACTGGAGCCGAGTCGAGGACCCTGAAATCGTCTCGGATCCGTAACGTAATCGGTGCCGGATGATGGGCGGTATCTGAAGGGGTCGCAAAAGGACTGGAAGCGAAGAATTGGCGTGGACTCTGGAAGCATTTGCACGTGCATGTTTGGCTTACGGCGCTTTGCAATCGAGCCAATCGTGGGTGTGTTGGTTGGTGGGAGAAAGAACGGCCGGAGCGAAAACGTGAGCTCGGGGCTGTTAGAGCTTAGGCGGGTAAGGCAGGAGCTGAGGACGTACGGTACTCCCGTCCTTACCTCCGAGGTCTGACAGGTGGAAGGTCCCGAATGCAACTACAACATGTCACTTTCACTTGTTGCGACGAGGCCACAATCGAGCATGTCAGTCGGTCAATTAATCAGTCAGCTAACGATGAGCACGCAACCGGCTGGCTGCCTGTACAAGGCAAGAATCGTCGCCCTCGGTTGAATCGTGTGGGCGCCTTGAGCTCACGCTGAGTTTACCCAGGGACATGGAGCTCGACTGGCTGACTGGCCGGGGCCAGTACAGCGAATGCCGTGCCTCTTTGAATCCGAGAAAATCTCGCCTGCAGGCCCACGATCGAGAGGATATGCTCGCAAATACCTTTGGAGTGAGTGTCCTTCAGATCCATCCTCGCGCAGTCTCTCGCGTCAACATCGTGTACAGTACTGTACTTGGTCTGTACCATGCTAGGCCCCACCTTTACGCGGCGGCGGCTTTAGCTGGATATGGTCCGCCTACCAACGGTTCGGCTGTCGACAGGCACGAATCCCGCTCCACAGCATCGCGAAGTACTGGCATTATGATGAGACCTTTTACTTGTACCTAGGGTTGCACCCGTGTCGACCGTCCAGGCGCGCAGCTGGCTGCTGCTGTTTACACGCTGTAACAAAAGGTCGGTCGATCTATGGCAGGGCATGCCAATCTCGCGCTGTCTTGTCCCGCCCGCCCAGCTGGCCTTGGCCCTCCCTCGCAAAGCATCGCTAGCGACCATCCGCGATTCCACCCCCAAGAGCCTGGGCTCGGAGCCAAGAGGTACGTGATCGTTACATGCTCCTTCTGATTCGCGTCTCGATCTTTCCCGCCGCAGCCACCCACACCCCACTGGCCCACCCTTGTTGAGCACCACTGGACCCTGAATTGGATCCTCATGCACTGACCGTCAGTCAGGCAAGGGCCGCAAGGCTACTGTCGGGTCGCGAAGCCACAGCAGCTGCTCATGCAGACCCCATTCAGTCCTTGTAGAGCGTGGCGCCCGCAGACACAAGCAAAGAAAAGAGACATGTTGCCGCGCCCTCTCCCGGTCGTTTGGATAGACAGATGAGGGGGAGGCGACTTCGACTCGCAAGACTGCTGGGATCTTTACAGCCATCCCCAGCGCGACAAGCACTTTGCAGGCCCTGTTGAGTAAGGTCTCGTGGAAACCGCACGCCAGAACAAGCAAAAGAGAGACGCCCTTCCCACAAGCACATCGGGCATCGGACACCACGATTGTCTTTTCATCAGGCATGCGGTTTCTAGCCCCCGGCCGGTAAGCTCAGATGCCAATGCTACCGCCGATGGGAAGGCAAAAAAGCGACATGCACCACTCTACTGCACTGGTGAGTTAGTTCATGATCATCGTCCTTTGGTCAGTCCAAGCAACAACCAAATCTGATATACCTTTGCTTCCCCCAGCCTAGGTTGTGCTCCCACCCACGGTGCTTTGCCTCTTTCTGGACTCTGTTGGTTCTTATCCTGACTTCATCCCCTCTAGAATCCAAAATTTGGGAATTTGATATCTATCATAGTCCCATACACAAGACTCCATTTGCACGCCCTCCTCGTTTTGATTCTTCTCCGCTACCGTTCCCTCGCTGGGACGGCCTGATGGATAGTGACCCGCGACTGATACCGGTTTCAGCGTCGTGCTTTTCCAGAGCTTCGACCGGCAGTGGCTGCATTGGCAATCGTCGTCGCTGTCTGGCGATGCTTGGGCTGACTCGTGTTGTTGGTCGAAGAGATTCACACCTATGCCATTGGCCAAGCGCCAACAATACGACCAACGGAGCGAGCGAAACACAAAGAGGTTGCCGCAAGCACGAAAAGAAGAGGAGGAGAGGCCGTCTTAAATGCCATCCTTCCCGGCGGGAGAGGTTCCTCGAGTGCAGGAGGATCCTGCTGCCCCCGCAAACGCCAAGGGACCGTCCAGCGCTGAAGGGAGCGTGAGCATGCCCTCGTTGAATCCCACTGCCGGATCCCCCGCAGCCACGGCACCACCTGAATCCTCCTCGTCGACATCAGTCACGACATACACAGTCGCAGCTACACAGCCAGCTGAGACCTCAGCCGCACATGCAGCAGCAACGGCAACCTCAGTTACCTCACCGGCGGCGGCTCAGGTGCCCGCCTCGATTTCGGTGCCCGCCTCAGCAACTCCTCTGCCTCCAGCACGCTCCTATTCACCCTCCGTACCAGGCCGACTACATGCTCACCGGGCAACGCTCAGCAATGCGACCTCAACGTCGCTTTCTGTTTCAACAGCAACACTCAACACGACCGAGGACCGGCAACAGCTGAGTGATCCCGCAGACATCGACGCGGCTGTTCGACAACTGCTTGACCAACAGGCTGACATCCAGTCTCACCTCAACGCTCTCCTGATAGCCCAGAATGGCTTCGATCCCACCCACGAGCTTCAGATGCTTATGCATAAGTCTCGGGTACTAGAAAATGTTGTGCATCATCATGGTGAGTGCCAATCCGCTTGACTTGGAATTTCGACGCATACTTGAGAGTATTGAGAGCAATGCCAAACGGCATAAGCACCTCGGATACTGTCTGCCCTGAACCAGAAAATGCTAATTGCCATCCAGGACTGGACTCTCAAGTTCCCATCCTCTCCGAGGTTGAGGGGGCGCGAGCACTGCAATACCGTTGCGAATGTCTCGAGGCCGCATGCAGCAAGGACGGTAAGCTTGAGCTCTTGTTTTCATACCCACAGACGCTGACCCTTGAGTCTAATTAGCTGATATTGACATTTTGGAAGCACTCCAATCGTCTTCGTCCCACGGACCCCAGGGATTCGACAACTGGTTGGGGAAGCACGTTGAGCTTCACGACCCCTTCATCCGTCAGGGCGCCACCCGGTCCTATCATGACAATCCCGAGCCCTCATCTGCGGCTGCTCCGCCTACCCATCAACGTTCCGAATCCCTCTCTGTATTCAGGTGTTGGAACGAGCGCTGTATCCACTATGTCTATGGATTTAACAACCAGACTGAGCGCGATGCACATATGCGCACGCACTCAGGGGGCTACTTCACTAAGCGAGATTCAGGTCTGTCGCTCATCAACACGCCTCCCCTCGTGCCAAAGCAGCCAGTCATCATACCACCGAATTCCGCCGATAGTACAGGCGTCTTTTCACCAACCAAGCTGCAACGACCGGGCGCGCAGGGATCAATGGCACAACCTGTCCTCGGCGTGCAAACACAGCCTGCCAGCAGACGAGGCTCTGCAGTTGGCTTCAACCTTCCGAGCAGCCGCCCCCCCACCAGAGGCGCATCAGTTGAGCATGATCTTGACCCCTTACTTCCACCTCTCAAGAGGAGCAGAGTCGGGCACTCGCGGCTTCAGTCTATTGGTGAGCTCCAACTACTACGCGACCATGACCCTTGTCTTCGGTGCAAAGTGTCGCACAGGGCTTGTGACGCCGGTCGCCCCTGTAATTACTGTTTGGAGCATCCGCCATCGAGTTCTGAGGAGCACTGGAAGATTCTAGGCTGTTATGGAGGCTCTATCGCCTCTCTGGTGGATGTTTTTATGCCTGCTCCCGTCTCGCCCAGGCAGACTAGAACACCGGTAACATCACCGCTGGCACAACGACGCACTGCCAATGACTATCTTCAGAGGATGTACGCATTTCCAGATAACACCATGGATGTTGTCAAGGAAGTACTCGACTTCAAGGACAACTTTTGGTGGTCCGGGCAACTGGACCAACGACCAAGCTCCATCCTCCATGCGAGCGACTCGAGCCGCGATACGTCCTATTCTGCACCACCCATTCTCGTCGCGCTGGCGTCCAGTCACAATTGCCAAGACACGACGTACGATCTGCTGGAACTGCTCAACATCACGGGCTTCCTGTCCGCCACCCGAACGGCCGAGGAGGCTACCTACCCCGTACTATACAGGGCCAAGCTCCTGCTCAGGGAGGTGGTCTTTCTCGACGTTGTGCAAAACGAGCCAGCAATCGAAACAGATCTGCACCACCAGCGCATGAACCCACCGGAAGAGATCGACTCGGACGAGCAACTCCGGTTGGTGCAGGACTGCCTTGCCCGTTACCTTCAGGTATTCGAAGCCACACTGTCGGTGAAGAGCAGTCTTCGCGTCAGAGAGTGGCTCGCATTCTTCCACTCGCTGTGCATTTTCAGTGTGGTGCGGACGATCCTGGCGGACATGGCCATGCTTTCGCCGCAGGCGCCGCTGCTCCGTCGGTCCACGGGAACAACCACTGCGCAGAGCATCCGCACTATGCACAGCGCTTATAAAGCTGTCGTGGAGTATTTCGCCGCCTCGGGTCCTGCTCCCATGGACAGCCTAGCCAATGATGCGAGTGAGGAGGACATGTCCATTCTTGACGCAACCAGCCAGGTGACGAGGAGGGAGATGTGGCGAGCTAGGGGCATGCAGTCCAGCTTCGACTTTCTGATGAGTCTCGGTGACACTGGCCACGACAATACCACTTTTTTCGGGTTTATCAGGCCGCGTCACAGCCGGGTTGAGCTGCACTCAGATCAGCTCCCTTCGGCTGTAGAACCCGGCGGCGAAACGCCACGGGTTGGGAGCTTGTTCAGGCCAGGCGTTTTGTGGGATTCGCCAGTTGAAGCCAAGCCCGAAGAGTCACCTCATCACCCTGGAGATGTACTCAAGTCGCCTCGCTCTCAGGTGCATGGGAAGAGCCGTCGGCATACACTCGCCGAACCCCCCATGTTTCTGCAGCGACCGCAGCACCTAATCAACACGCCCATGGCACCCTCGCGATTCAAGGCATATCAAAGAATGCCAGTACGACGTGTGTTCTGCACGAAATGCAATGAGCATCCAGAAGGATTCAGAGGGGAGCACGAGTTGCGGCGGCACGCTGATGCTAAACATGCCAAGCTTGTCAAGCGATATGTGTGCAAGGAACCGGAAAGCCAGGCGCCCAACGCCCCCCAGCCTGTGATTGCCCTGTCTAAATGCAAGGCCTGCTTGACGCGGAAGCAGTACGGTGCATACTACAATGCGGCGGCCCATTTACGGCGTGCTCACTTTAACCCGCACAAGGGAGGCAAGGCAAGTGGTGACTGGCCTTCGATGATTGTTCTTCGCGAATGGATGCACGAGGTGCACCATCATGCTGACCATCCGCAAGACGATGAATCGTCCAGTGGTGGTGACAATGAGGAGATGAAAGCCCCCACGCCGGCAAGTGACTTCTACGGCCCCGGCGGGACATCAATGCTGGATACCACACGCACGGGGCTTGGACAGCCGTCGTCGTCGGCCTATCAGCTAGTCTCGCCTGCTACGGACGGTCCGTGGAGTGCCATCCAGGACAGCCCGTCGACACGGTCGGCAGCCGGCGATCATCGCAACCGCTGTCCTTTCCCCGACTGCGGCCGCATCTTCAAAGATCTCGCAGCCCACCTCCTGACACACCAGGAGGAACGGCCGGAGAAGTGCCCTATCGAATCGTGCGAGTATCATACAAAGGGCTTCGCGCGCAAGTACGACAAAAACCGCCACGCTTTGACGCATTACAAGGGAACCATGGCGTGCCCCTTTTGCGCCGGCGTGGGCACCGCGTACGAGAAGACGTTCAATCGAGCCGACGTGTTTAAGCGGCACCTGACGTCGACGCACAATGTAGAGCAGACACCGCCCAACACGCGCAAGTTTGTCATTGGGGAGTCGGGTGTCGTCACGGCCACGGTCCCGTCCGCGTCGGGGGACGTTGCCGGCGGCGGCGCCCTGTGCTCCATCTGCCACACGCGGTTCGCCAGCGCGCAGGACTTTTATGAGCATCTTGACGATTGCGTGCTGAGTGCCATTGTGCCCCAATCGCAGCAGCAGCAGCAGAAGATACCGACGCCTCGCCAACCACCGTATCAACCTCCACAGCCTGAATCATCATACTCCACGCACCGCGTACATGAGCTACCCACACCGACGAGCAGTAATCGACGGGCACCACCAGAGGAGGTGGATTGGCGGTCTTGATTTTTTTTTAGCTTTCATCTCATCAAATCAAGCACACGCGGCGTTGCATTTTACTTTTCTAGTAGATACCACAGACACTTTGTTCGGACGGACCACGGCTGGGGCCTTGGTCCCTTTATCTGTCGCTTTGGGGGTTTATTTACTTTGGCTCCCCCTTTTATTTCCGCTGGGGATCACCCTTGATACCACTGGGAGGAATGGCGTTGTGCGGTTAACGGACCTAGTTTTTGCTTTTGCGTATGCAGATACTTCCATCCGGGGCTCTCTGCTCGGCATATGTTTTAATGATGAGATCAGGAATTACACTGCCTAGACACTCATAGGCTGCAGAAAGGCGCAATGGATATATATCATGAACATAATGGGTATCTTTTTTTTTTCCTCAATGCGTTATGCTTTAAACTATACAAAATCTCTGTCGCAACCTTATTAACTGCTGGTTCCGCCAGACGACGAACCCTTCTCGTTCAGAACACCTTCGGGTGCAGGGCGGGGGCCCTTGGGACTGGAGCGAACAAAGTAGTCGTGGATCTCAGGCGAGAACTCGCCGTCTTCGGGCATACCGCTGTTCGTGTGGTCGGCATTCTCGTGCTCCTTGGGGCCCATGGCCTCGCGGACGTCCTCCCACTCCTTGCGCATGTCGTCAATCTTGGTCCGCCAGTCCTTCTCGGCGTCGTAGTGCTTGCCCTCGCCGCGGAGGCGCTCCCAGAGGGACAGGTGCTGGGGGTGGACGGCGACGCCGTGGTACTCGTGGCTCTTGCCCTTGACGATGTAGCTCCAGCGGCGCTCCTGCTCCTTGAGGTCGAGGCCGGTGGTGTCGGGGAGGAAGAGGAGAGTGAGGAGCATGCCGGCGAGGCCGAACCAGGGGACGACGTAGAACTTTGTCTGGTTGTCAATGTAGTTGTAGAGCACACTGGCGAGCAGGGCGCCAGCCTTGCCGAAGCAGGCGCTGAAGCCGTGGGCGGTGGCACGGACGGGCGTGGGGAAGACCTCGCCGGCGACGAGGAAGGTGACCGAGTTGGGGCCGAACTGGTTGAAGAAGGAGCTGATAAAGTACATGGCCTGGAAGGAGTGGATGCCGGCCGGGGAGGTGTAGTACTCAAAGTTGAAGGCGGGGATGACGAACATGAGGAAGCACATGAAGAAGCCAACCTGCTGCATCATCTTGCGGCCGTAGAACTTGTTGTCGATGAGGAGGGCGGCGAGGTAGTAGCCGGCGAGGGAGACGGTGATGTTGACGAGGTTCCAGGTCCAGGTGGTCATGAGGGAGTCCGGGTTGCTGGAGATGACCTTGATGAACTGGCCCTGGAAGAGTTTGTTGCCGTAGAAGAAGACGTCGTTGCAGAACCAGGTACCGGCGGTGGCGAGCAGACGACCGCCAAAGTGCTTGAAGCAATACTTGAGGGAGTTGACGTCGTAGCCGGTGACCTTGCGGCGCGACTTGGCCTCGGCGAGCTTCTTGCTGGCGTTGGGCATCTTCCAGGTACGGTAGTAGACGAGCCACAGGGTGCCAATGGCGGGGAAGGCAAAGGACAGGCGGAAGGCGTACTGGGCCGCCGACTGGGAGTAGGGCGGGCCGCCGTTGCCTGAGTTAAAGATGACGAGGAGGACGATGAGGACGACCTGGTTGACGAACTGGCCCCAGCCCTGCATGAGGAAGGCGGTGGTGACGCGGCGACCGCGGTGCAGGCGATCCTCGCGCGTGGACAACTTGCCCGAGGCGACGGCATTCTCGAGAGACGAGGTGGCCGTGATGGGGTACTCGCCGCCGACGCCCAGACCATAGAAGAAGAGCGACCAGGCGTAGCAGATGACCCAGCCCTGGAGCGTCAGGCCCCAGCTGGCGGTGAGCATGAGAAGACCGATGAGCATGATGAGAGCGTCCTGGATCAGGCCCCAGCGACGACCGACCCAGTCGCCAATGACGCCGACGGCGGCCTGGCCGACCATGATGCCAATGATCTCGAGGTAGGTGACACTAGCGACCCAGTTCTTGGAGCAGACCTCGTTGGTGTCCCAGCAGGCCGGCCATACCTTGGCAAAGAGCGGCTCGAGATTGCCAATGGAGAAAAGGACGTAGCCCTCGAGACCAAGACCGGCACCGGGAATGACAGCGTTGCGGAAGTACCAGGAGATGGGGGACAGAGGGTCCTTCTTGACCATGCCGCCAATGGTGGAGAGCTCCTCGTGCGCGGCGGCGGCGTCGACCTTGGAGACGAAGCGCACGCGACGCGCGAGGGGCATGTCGGCCCAGTAGGTGCCATCGGCGTCGTAGCTGTCATCCGGGCGAGTTACATGGCTGAAGATGCGGCGCTCGTGGGCATTGGTGCCGGCGAGGACATCGTGTGCGTCGTCCGGCTGGTTCTGTTGTTGGTCGGAGGAGCTGTCGTCGCTCTCCTCGTCGGCAACAGGTCCGTGGGGGACGGGAATTTCACCAGGGATCGCGGAGTGATGGTGGTGGTGGTGGTGATGCGTGCCTGCATGAGCGTGGTTTCCAGCCGCCATGGTGTGTGTGTGTTGCGCGCGTGTGCGACTAAGCGTTTCAGAGTGCTTATTTCGGGAACAGATTCCGGCAGCAGTCGAGCAGACAGATGAGATCTACTGCTGCGTTCTTACTCGCTGTGGCTGCGACCGTAAAGTGATATACAGCCAATCTTGTGCGCCCGAGAAGAAGAAAGCCCAGTTGTTGTCGTTCAGTTCAACAGGACTCGAAAATTGTCCGTCTTTTTTCAAAGGGACGGACTCGGATTTTCCCAAGTGGGCCGGTGGCGGGTGGGCGAGAACCAAAGAAAGACAAGAATAAGCTTCCTGTCCGGTTTTAAGTTAAGGCGCCAGCAATCAGGATGCGCGGATAGTTGGCGATGGAGGATAGGCGAGTGAATTTGAGAGATGAGGATGAGAAGTGAGATCTGCGTGTCTGCGTCTCGCCTGCCTAGGTAGTCGTTCGTACCTGCCTGGCTAGCAACAGAGACAGACTTGTTGTTGTGGAAGGGGCACGCTGATGGCGTTTGTTGCACGGGCGAGCAAAAGGAGCCTTTGCCTTTCACGATGGGAAGGAGCGCGGCAGAGGAAGGAGTTGTTGAGCTCAGGCAATCAAGTCAAGAACAACATTCCAGAGGCAGCTAGCAAGCATGTCGACTACCTATATACATGTGGAGGACCTCGATACAACCGACCATCATCTGCTCGTTCGCCTACGCAGAAGTCGAAGCCACGCATAGCAATGGGGGGGAAAACGACAACTCGCGATGCTTCGCAACGGCCAGTCACAACGCTGCATTCAACACCGTGCTCGATCCTGTGGACGACAGGCACGGGGGGAGATATTGGGGGAGGGCTTTGTAAAGGTTTTAATATGGACCGGCTCGCTCCAGAATCCAGGGCCCAGGGCCCAGTCCCAGACTCGCAGAGAGCGGGCGGCCTGGCTGGAAGGAAAAAAGGGCCGCGGCCGGTGGGTGGGAGGGAGCAAACAGCGCAAGTTTGGTGGTGCCTCACGGAACAGACGGCAGGGCGGATTTGCACGCGTACGTACGTACACTTTGGAAGCGCAGCGCATTCATAGGCCGGAAGGTCGGATCGACCGACTAGTCTCGTCCTCGCCATTCCTCAGGAAGCGGCAGGCCACTTGGGTAGAAAACACAGCAAGACAAAGACAGAGGAAATAAAAAGAAGCATCTCTTCATTCACTCGGCGGCGAGGGCTAGATCCGACAGATCCTCCCTCCTCGAGATGGTGATGGGCGACAAACGCTCGTCGTTGGACAGGCCAAGGCCGGCTGCCTCGAAAGGGAAACTGCTCGCGTGAGCTGACTTGAGTCTTCCCACTCGCCAAGACCAACCCGGCATTTGTGCCGAGAACTTTCCATCAAATTATGGAGAGACAAGAGGGAGGGACTCCAGCCCTCCCGTCGACAATTTCTTGGCTGACAGCGCTGCAGGCCCACGCTGCGCGGCGTTACGTAGTATACCGGGTTATGCACCTACTGTTAATGTAAGTAAAGCAATATGCGTCTACGCAGTATAGATATCCGTATAGTCTCAAATCTCTCACTCTGTTGCCGATCTGTGTGTCCGTACATGATGAGGCTACGTATTCGGCTCGCCGGCCAAATCAGCACATGTGCAATTGTTTTTAGTTTCCTGGTGCCGAACGCCTCGCCCGAGCCGACTTATCCACGCGAGCTACGGATACGGCACGCCCACATCGAAAGCCTACCGTACTTAGGTAGTATTACCTCGGTGTGAGCACAACTTCAACTCACTACTAAACTAAGTAGCCGTGTTCCCGGATCACCCAGACACGTGCCGCGTAATCCGATACGATGACCATCAACCTCTGAATTGAAACTGAAAAGAAGTCGTAATGTAAATGTCTGTATGCTCTCACAGCTATTGCTTCGCGTCTACGCGCTTATGATACAATGTCCGACTGCGATGCTCTCCGTCCTGCCTGCCTCTCCATCCGTAGGCCTCCCATCCGTAGGCCTCCCATGCTGCCCCCCATCCAATGCTGAATTGAGCCCAAGGAAGAAGCATTGCGAGGCAGGTCGATCGGCGAATATCAATGCGTATGCGTAAATACACGCAACGCACGTGGAGGTCCGAAATTGCAGAGCCATCGATATTTTCGTCTGTCCCTTAAACTCTGAAAGAAAAGGAAATAATAGCTTTCACTAAAGAACGCATCTTCCTGATAAAAAGGTCCGCCCACTTTGCTGCTATGGCTGTTGCTGAACCCCTAGAAACGCCGCGCTGTCATATCGTGATAAATAAACAAATGAGAATAATAAAAGGAAAAAAATAAGGAAAAAATTGTAGCAGGAGAACTGGATACGCCTGCGTGGCGGCAGTGATATTGCTCACTTGGCAGCCGCACGCGGCGTCGCATCGTCCTCTGCGGACGCTTCTGCAGTGCTACTTGAGCGGTTTGGACCCTGCGGCCGTGGTGTCGCGTCCATGCTATCCACAGGCGGCCCGTTCCCCTTGGAGTCGGCATCAGACCCAGTCGCGTTGCTCTGCTGCGGTGGAGGCGTCTTCTGCTCTGGCAATGGTTCTGGTCCAGGCGCGTCTTTCGATTCCAGATTCATGCTCTCCATCTCGTGGCACGGCGTCGTCATGACCTGGGTCACCGCCTCGGGCGTGCTCTCAGACTCAATGGCGCTATCGTGGCTGTTGGCGCGCATCATCTCGACACCTAGCTTGGAGCTCGGGAGCGATGATTTGCCCCCCATCTGAGGCCCATTGCTCCGTCGAGGTTGTCGATCCCGCACCTGCACCTGGCCCAGCTCCTCGTCCTCGTCGTCCGCAGACTCCATGCTCTCGGCGACACTTTTGTCCGCCTCGTCCTTCTTAGGCTCTGACTTGTCGGTCGGTCGAGTCGTTCGCTCGAGTTGGGGAGGGGCGGAGCGCTGGAGTGTGAGCTGCGGAATTCTTGGGATGCCCTCGGAGAAGGCGCCCTGCTCGGTGATGCCCAGCCCACCATCGTCCCAATCCCCGGTGCCCTTTCGGCTTGGGGCTTGTAGAGGCTCATCGGTCGTCGCTGATTCAGAATCGCAGACTGTGCTCGCGCTGACTGAGTCCTCACGGCTGGTAATCACGGACGACAGCACAGATGATCCTTGGCGTAGAAACGTAGAAGAGCTCGAACCAGATGCATCGTCCGTTCGTGTTGTGGTAGCCCTCCGCAGTCCTGAAGAGGCTGGCTGTTGCTGCTGCGGTGGTGGCGGTGGCATCGTGCCAGAGGATGGTGCCTGGCCAGGAGAGTCCGGTCGCCAGTGGCAGAGACCACGTAGTACCTCGGTCAGCTTGGACGAGCTGATGGGCTTCTCGATAAGCGAGTCAAAATGGTGTGGCGCCTGGAGCTCCTTGAGGTACGCCGTGATGGCGACAATTGGTGTGTGCGAGTTGGCGTTCTTGGTCTCGCGGATCATGCGCGCCACATCTGTCCCGTTGATCTGTGGCAGCTTGAACTCGAGGAAGATGACATCAAACTGGATCTCGCTCATCGAGTACCGCACAGCCTCGGACCCGTTAGGCACAGAGATGGTGCGGCACCGCAGCTTCTCCAGCAGCTTCTCCATGACCATGCGCGCCACCGGGTGGTCTTCGCAGATGAGCACATTCAGAGGTCGGAAACTGGGACCCCCGTCAAACGCAATCTGCGAGAGTCGACGTGAGCTTTGGCGACGGCGCTGCACTCGTAACAAGGCGTTGTGCTTCTCGCCCTCATTGTCCGACGACGACGGTGACATGTCAAAGACTTGGCTGCGACGGCTGCGATGACGATGCAGGGCATCGGCTGTCACGGGGCTCCCCTCTTGGGAGCCCACAGTCAGCGACCTCGACCGGCTGGTTGTTGGCGTGTGAGTGGCCTTGCTGGGCGTCGACACCACCTTCTGCGGCGGCAATGAAAGGGGCGGAGGCGGCGCAGCAGAGCTCTTGCCCTTGATCGGGGAGGAAGAAAGCGACGTTGCCGCCTTTTGCAGGCTCGGCGGCACCTTGGGGATCTCGATGCCTGTAGGAGGCTGCAGGTTCGAGGTGGACTGGTGCGAGAGGCTTGAGGAATTGCTCGAGGCTTTCCGGCGCCCCTCAGTGCCCTGTCCTGCGACAAAGCTGACCAGCAGCGGCGAGGACGGTTGAGACACGCGACTTGGCGAGGCGTTGGAGTGCCCATAGCCAGATGGCGACTGCGGTCGGTTGGCTGCTTTGGCATTAGAAATGGTCCGCTGCACTGGGTGGGCTACCACGGGGCTGCCCTCGACCGATGGCGCGGGCGATTCACCCCTGGCACCACCCGCAATCGTGGCGGAAGTGGCTGCTTTGCTTTGCGAGGCGACAGCCTCGGCACGCAGCTTCTCGATCAGATCCTTGTTTGCCTTGCCCAGCGCGGACAGGTTCTTAAAGACAAACGAGCCAAAGTCATCCGCCTGCAGTGGCTCGCTGAGCCGCCTCGACTTGGAGTCCCGAACGTGCGGTGGGATGTGCAGCGGCATCAGCTTTCGATGGATCTGGTTCACCTGGGATCGTACTCGAGAGAGGGCATCGTGTGGTCTGTCGGCATAGTCAGATCCACCTCCGCCTCCGCCGGCGCTGGACGACTGAGGTGACAGGTGCTCCTCCAATTCCTCCGTGAATGCCTGGAGACTCGCGCCGCGAGGGTCAAAGTATTCGGTGTCCTCGGGGTTCTCGGGCTGAGGTACGAACTGCGGCTCGTCCTCGAGAAGTGTATCCCAGCTCAGGGCGCTAAACCAGGGGTGGGCTCGGATCTCCTCTCCACCAGACGCAAACTTGTCGTTCTTGTTGGCACCGAGACGTTCCTGTGGGTCCATGCACAGGAGCTTGTTGATGAGATCCTTTGCCTCCTCGGAGACGGGCGCGTCGGGGTCCTCGGGCGGCCACATGATCTTCCGCGCAAGGATGTTTTCGAATACATGTTCCGCCTCGCCAGCGTGGAAGGGCGGTATGCCATATAAGAACTCGAAGAGAATACAGCCGACGGACCACCAATCGCTTGTCTCGTCTTGCTTGTCGCCTTTGATGGTCTCGGGCGCCAGGTAGTCAGGCGTGCCGACGAAGCGACGGTTCGTGTCCTCGGGGTCGAAGAGTGCCATGGCCGGAGGCATCATACTTGATTGCTGCGGCGGTGACTTCGCATGGGCTTCTGCACCTGCCTTGGACGCGATCATGTTCAGGGAAGTCATCTCGGGAGAAGCTGAAATGATTCCCTCTTCGTCGTGCGGCAATTTCATGCTAGACATTGGCATCCCTGCCTCGTGGTCGTTCAGCGAGAAGGCAGAAAGCATATGCGTGAGCGTCTCGCTCCCACCGCTATCACTCCGATGGCTGCTCGAGACACGACGCTGCTCGTGTTGCGTATTGCCCAGACTGAAATACGACGGCTGTCCGAGTCCGCTGACTTCAGGGGTCATGTGAGGAGTGCCGCCCGGTGAGCCGCCGCTGTGGCCGTGCAGATCCAACGACGTCGATCTAGACGAGGCCATGGAGGTCGACCGCGCAAAGGGGCCTTGCTTGAGCAGGTCAGGGGTTGCCTCGGTCGTGCTGTTGAGCGCACGTTTCTGACGACCAACGAGACCCATCCGGGACAGGCCAAAGTCAGTCAGCTTCAGGTGGCCCTTTTGATCAATGAGCAGGTTGTCAGGCTTGAGATCTCGGTGGATAATCCCCCGGCTGTGAAGGTGCTCCACGCCCAAAACGACCTCGCCAAGGTACTTCCGAACCCAGTCTTCGGGAAGTCCGCCAAGGATCTTGATCAGTGAGGCGCAATCGCCGCCGTTAAGGTACTCCATAACCAGATAGAGATAGTCCTTGCTTGAGAAAGTCCAGTATAATTTGGCCACAAACTCACTCTGGCCTTGCCACATCATGATGGCACGCTCGGCCTTGACATTGCCCACCTGGTTCTTGGCCACCATGTCTGCCTTCTTTAGCACCTTGATGGCAAAATACTCGCCCGTTGATTTCTTCTTTGACAGATAGACGCTGCCAAAAGCACCCTTGCTGATGGGTTTGATAATCTCAAAGTCTTTGATCGAGGGCTGCGTAGAGCGTCCCTGAGGCGGTGCCTGGTTTGCGTGGAGCCTCGGTGATGGCGGAGGCTTCATGACAAAGTCGGAGATGGCAGCTGACGACTGGCGTCGGTGATGTCGCACAGGATGGATGACTGGCGAGCTGAACTCGCTGCTCCCCAGCATCGGCGAGCCCTCGGGGGAAACGACGATTTCTCCAGGGATCGGCATGCCTCGAGGCTTGATCCGCAGTGGTGATGGTGGCGGGGCCGGCCGAGAGGGTGAAGGCTGGCGACCTGGCGATGATGTGCCCGGTAGGACCAAGCTGCGACGATGGTGTTGACGCGAGCTCGCCGCTCGCCGCAGATCGCCAAACTCAGATATAGGGGACTCTGTCCGGGTGGCTGCGCGCGACGCAAGGGACGACGATCGTAGGCTGCCTTCGCTCTCGACGGTCTCCGACTCGGAGAACACATGTTGCTGCTGCTCACGAGGTATGTCGCGAGGCTGGACGTTGCCACCCGGGGCGCCCAAGTGTGAGCGAGGGGTAAGACATTCCCGTGGACTGCTCGATCGTGTCGAGGGAACAACGGACGGAGGATGCGAGCGCCGTGATTGTCTGTTGAGATCCGCCTGGCGAAGCGCCGTAGCGAGAGCTGAGGGACTATGCTGAGGCTTGTCCAACGGGCCCCCCTTGTCCCGTCCGCGTGGTTCGTCGCCGCTATCCGTGACGCTTGCTGGGCGGTCTTCTGATGGTACGCCCTGCTCGCAATTTTCTTGGCCGGAGACTTCTTCTTCGACATTGCCCAGTGGGTACTCGTTTGGCTGCCTCTCCTCGCCCTCGTCCTCACTTGTGTCGCTGAATTGGCCAGCCGCAATGCGGGCAGCCTTGCGCATGGCTTCGTCAATGCAGTCTTGCACCAGCACGGCCAATTCGACCCGAATCCGCTCGGCATACTCAATTATCTTGCGATGGCGGAAGACGGCGTCGACCTTGGCTCTTGCGACCTTCTCCGTGTCGGCGCAAAGAGCGGCGAGGCCTTGCTCCTGCTCAACGGTGTTTGTGCTCGGTGACTGCCACTGCAATACCTGGGAGATGCGTGACTCGGATTGGGGCGACTGGGTCCGTAGCTCTCCGTCTTGTTGTGCGGCCGACTCCTTGAGCGATGGTGTGCTCACTTCAAGGGCAGTGTCGCACAGATCCATGAGAAGCTCGACAATGCGTGCCTGTGGCCGGCGAACGGCAAAGGACCGAGTTCTATTGTGTCCAAAGCCGCCCGACCGGTCCCTCGACCGAGCCATCGACGTGCCGGGCGACGACTGTGTTGAAGGAGGCGGACCGATCGGCATCCCTTTGTATTCCGCTAAAGGTAGGGGGTTCGGCTGCTGCTGTTGTTGTTCGCCCGAAGTCGGCCGACTTTGTCGAGACTCGAGAGCGTCGAGGACCTTGACGATAGCATGGCGGTGCTCTTGAAGATTCTCCTGTGCCATCTGCACATCCATCTCTGCTCGATGTTCCTGCAGACACAAATCGGTGTGCTTCTCAAACCACCAGGGCTGGATTTGGCGTTCGCAAATGCGGCAGAGTACGGTCGGTGGAGGTTTGACGCGGCTGTCAACGTTCTCGCCGCCGCATTCCGCGAGCTGGTTGAGAAAGCTGGCAAGGACTTCGCCGCCAGAGCCTAGGGAATCGACAATGACATCGGGCAAGTCGATGAGGATTTCGGTTGGGGGTGTCCACGGACGGATCATCCACATGGTCTAGCTCGTGTTAGAAACTATGCTCGCAGTATCAGCCAGGCATACCTACATGACTTTCTCCTCCCGAGGCACTATCATACACCATGATGCCCTGTGCCTCAAGCTCGATGGTCTCAGGCGAGGCTTCAGCGCCGTCGGAAGGTGCTTCGGCAGATCTGAGCTTGGAGAGTGGGCCTAACTCCATTGTGAATCGTATCCGATGGCTCCTGGAGTCATCCCTCTTCATGCCTTCCACCACTTCAGAGAACACATTTTTGTTGTCGCTCACCACGAGCTCCGACAGCTGCTTGCCGTCCAGCGTCTCGAGCTTGGTTCCGACGACGTCCGCCCATGACGGGCTCGCCCACCGTACCGTGCCGTCGAGGTTGAGATCGACAATGGCATTGAGGGTCTGCTCGGCAGCCTCTCGAAGTTCTTCGCGTTCGTCACGGATATCCTGGCTGATGGACCGCTCCATGGGATACGCCTGCTGCGCGCGAAGGTGGGCGACAGCTGGCGGGGCCAGCGTGGGAGCAGGCGATTCCATGGCAGGCTTGCGCCAGCGTACGCTGTGCTCGCCGCTTTTCTCTCTCGCCCTTGGTGGCTCGTAGGTAGAGCGGTTCGATTCGTATAGTGAGGCGGTCGGATCGGTTGGGGATGATCTGGCTTGAATGCCAGGACTACAGGCTCCCGGAACCACGATACATGACGGAGGGCGGACCAGAGGTGAGACAATCGGTCAAAATCGCCTGTGATCGAACCGTGTCGAGTATCTTGGATCGAGTCGTGGTCGACCTACGTAGTCTAGGCGCCAGATGGAAGAGAAAGGATGGGTTGGAACACAAGGTGGATCGGAGACTTGGGAGTGGGAAGCGGGCGGAGTGAATGCGATGCTCTCTGGCACGCAGCTGTGCTGACACTTGACAAAGAAATGGAGCGACGAGGCAAGATGAAAGAGCTGCTCGACCGTGCCGAGTAGCAATTGTCGAAGGTGTAACGTAATTGGAGAAGCAGTTGGCGATGCGGTCGTGAATTGCATAAGGAAACAAAGTCCGGCGTGTTTAACGAGCAGCGACAGGTCAGTCACGCTGGACATTCACGATGTCGTGCGGAGGACGTTGCGCACTGTACATCTGCCGACTATCAGCACGCAACGCACAGTGCAAATGGAGATGGGACCCAAGTTTCAGAGGTGCGCTGGGGGGAGGGTCGGCGGACGGGACACGGCGACGGATAAGCGGGGAAGGGACAGTGAGGCCCAATCACCTCACACCAACTGCACTGATGATATGCCTTACTCATGCGCACTGTGCTAGCTTTCCTCGAGACACGAGCGCACGAGTTGAATCACGATAGAGTCACATCCTCGCCGTTACTATCAACAAACGAGCACAGGTCGATGAACAAGAGCGAGCTAGATCTCCAGCACACACCCATTTTTCCTCCTCGCTTCATGGTTAGAGTCGCAATGTGCCTCTGGCTCGATGGCAAGCAAGCATGCACGCACCCATACGCTGATCCATCCACCCACCACGACGACTGACCGCCTTGGAAGCTCGCCTTGATTGATAATGTTCTGGGCCGTGGTCGCTTCGTGATCACAGTAATGACTGTCCATTGCGAGCGGCACGTTGATCAGCATAAACATGCTGCATAAGCAGGGCAGAGCGTTGCCATACCAGAAGGCAACGCTGCAGACTGCGTGCAGAGGGGACGGTGATGCGGAGGGGCACCAGCTCAGTTCCCCCCTCCGTGCGCGGCCAGGTTAGGGCCATGTCACAAAGTTTATGCTCCAGAATCATGCTCAATGTGGTGAATGCGCTGGCAATTATCAATTGAAGCGTGGACTTGCTGTGAGCCAATCAGTGGACGTGGGGGAGAGACATGCAGGACACACTGCATGTTGGAGAAGGGTGCCTCTTTTCCGTGGCTCCCTCTATGTTTGCTTTGAAAGTACGGATAGTATGCCTCAGAATCGTCCATCAAGGCTCAGTATCACGAGTGTCTGACATCAGAGAATGTCATCAGAATGGACTGGTCGAGCTACACAGGAGTCTCGTGCTTCGTGTTCTCTGCGTCAAGCTTGGGTAATGGATGGGAGCTTTTCATCTGGCTAACCTACAGTACACCACGGTGATTCTTACTGGTCTGCGTCAACGCCAGCGGCAGGCACCAGGTAATATCCTCCTTTCCTGGAGGCTTGTTGGAGTCCAGAGATGTCTTCTTCGTCCTATTCTTGACCCTGTAATTGTATCAAACTCCATTTCTCGCTTGTTTCCGCGATCCGTCGTTAAGCGATGGATTCGGGGATCGCTCCTCGAGTCCGCTAATATGACACGCCTGGCCAATCAAAATGATCTGGCCCTGGTTTGCTTATCAATCCAGATTCGCGGTTGATTGACGATGAAGGTTCGCGATATATATTCCGAGAAGAACCACCCATTATTAGTATAGCACTGACTAATTTGAATAAAACAGGCTTCTCCGACACATAGGGCATGAACATAGCAAGAAAACTTCCATTGTCAGGAATAAATAAGCTTCCATCCATCTTCGCAGCTCTCATCCGTACCCCGTACCCCTCTCAACCACAACATCGACAACTCGGCACATCAACACCAGCCATGATGACTTCAAGACAGGACAATGTGGGAGCCAAGGGTGCTCCCTTCTTCACGCCGGCTCAGTCGCCCCCCTCAGGGACGCCTCTCGACGCCAGCACGGCACCTACCCTCTTCACCCCTCTCACCACCCGCGGGGTGACCGCCCACAACCGCTTCGTCGTGTCCCCCATGTGCACATACTCGGCCGACTATGGACACTTGTCGGACTGGCACCTCGTCCATCTCGGACAGTACGCCCTCGGTGGCGCTGGGACTATCATGGTGGAGGCTACGGCTGTCGAACCCAGGGGCCGCATCTCTCCTGAGGATTCGGGTCTCTGGCAGGACTCGCAGGTGGCGCCCCTGAAGAAGATTGTCGACTTTGTCCACAGCCAGGGCAGTGTTGCTGCGATTCAGCTCGCTCACGCCGGTCGCAAGGCGAGCACCATTGCCCCTTGGCTGGGCGGAACCACAGATAAGCCTGTCGCTGATGAGTCCATTGGCGGTTGGCCCAACGATGTGGTCGGACCTAGCCCAGTTCCTTACGCCGACAACCACGCCCCTCCGAAGGAGCTTTCCGTCAACGAAATCAAGGGCCTCGTGTCAAAGTTTGCCGAGTCGGCCAGACGGGCTGTTGAGGCTGGCTTTGATCTGATCGAGATCCACGGCGCGCACGGCTACCTGCACACCAGCTTCCTCTCGCCTCTGTCCAACGTCCGCACCGATCAGTACGGCGGCTCCTTTGAGAACCGCACCCGCTTCCTCACCGAGACGATCCAGGCTGTCCGCGCGGTCATCCCAGAGACCATGCCTCTGTGGCTGCGCATCTCGGCGACAGAGTGGATGGAGCACAGCGGCAAGCCTTCCTGGGACCTCGAGTCATCCATCCGTCTCGCCAAGCTTCTCCCTGGGCTGGGCGTCGACGTTCTGGACGTGTCTTCGGCCGGGAACACGCCACACGCGCGTGTGCCCATGCACAATGAGTACCAGGTTGACTTGGCCGGGTCTATCCGTCGCGCTGTCCGCGCCGACGGCCTCGACCTTCAGATTGCGGCCGTCGGCAAGATCACCGAGGCGGAGATGGCGCGTTCCATCGTCCAGGAGGGCAAGCCCGTTACACAGAACGGTAACGGTACGGTGGAAGTAGAGGGTGACCACGGTGTTGCGCAGGCCGAGTTCGTCTTGGCCGCCAGGCAATTCTTGAGGGACCCTCAATGGGTTCTGAACGTCGCCAACGAGCTCGGCGTGAGGGTCAAGTGGCCTCAGCAGTACGAGCGGGCCGCGAGGAGGCCCAAGGTAGAGAAACTGTAGAGAAGCGTACAAAGCATAGATAGAAACACGATAGACATGATAGATGCATCCAACTGAGACTCTGTGATGATGAGCCTACCTTACAGCGGGGCTAGGCTCGATTGAGATTCTGCCGTTAGCGGTGAAAAGGTAACACCGGAAGGGTGAGAACCTGAAATTAGTGAGACCGGAGGTAAACGACCCGGAATATAGGAAATTAGAGAGGAAGGCTCTAAGAGGATAGGATTATGCGATCAAGAACGTATAAATAGAGCCTCAACGGCTATCTCTTTTGTAATAATATAAGGCACTTAAATAACCTTCTCTATAGCGCATTATAGTTATAAGCCCGGGAGGTGACTATCACCTGTAACTTATACTGCACTTTGGATATATACTTTGTCTACTCCTATATACATTCCTTTATACTATTTAAATCCCTTCTTCTGCACTATAAGCACTATAGACGAATCAACCTTATCGAAATCTCTTAAGCTAAGCGTTCTAGCGTATTAGAACGAGTGGTACTTATCTCTCCGAGCACACGCTAGGGATGTCGGTATCTAGCAGCGAATCGACCCTGATCGGCCAGATGTAGCTAGCGATAACCCTTTCATAGTTGATAAGCGCTTAGCGCAAATAACTAGGGAAAAAAGTGCTCCTAAGAACGCTCGAGAGCGGTAGCTAGACTATATCGAAGCTCTTATCTAAGGATCGACCTATAGCTTCCCTAAGGAAGATAAGGCGATTAGAAAATAGATAAGGGTGACGATAGACCCTGCTATCTACGAGAACGTTTAGGAAGAGCTAGAGAGCAACCTAACCACCCGTCGTATACTCCGAACCCTTAGAAAGAGATTTGCGGCTAGCGTAACCTAAACTCGAGAGGAAGCTCGACGAGAATACTATAAAGCGCTACAAAGCGCTCGACGGGCTAATTAGAGCGTAGAAAAATAGCATTCGACTTGGATAACCGCCTTAAACCGAGCAAAGAACGCCAAGTTAACCGAAATTAAGGGTAACTAAGGAATCGCTGATTTCTTGGATGTAATCAGTGCTCGGTATGCTCCTAATTGGGCTACTCGAAAGCGCGAAGAGATCTTCGAAGTAGAGGTTAAAGGCAGGGAACTTAGCTAAACACTCGAGATCTATATATCTTAGTTCCTCGCAATCACGCGTAACGCTCCGTAGACCAAGAAGCACCAAGCACACGCCACACTAGGGCAAATCCCTAGTAAGCCGGCGGAGTAGTTGCCGCCTCTTAAATATCTATATATAAGGCTAGGGACCAATTTTAAGTATAAACATAGCCCTAAGGAATGCGTGACCCTAGAATACGCTATCATAGGCTAACGAGCAGAGGATTATAAGATTAGAATCTCGAAGAGCTAGATCAAGAATATTCGGTAGCGCTACGAAGATAATAATTTCGCGTCGCTTCGTATAAAGCTCGAAAAGAGTGGATAGCGTAAAACACCTATTGAACTAAATACTCTAACGAGTAACGGAAATTAGCTAGCCGGTGATATTACAGCCGCTATCGTCGATAATCACTAACTTCAGACCGCGGCAGTAACGCTCGATAAAGCGGATCCACCTCTATTATAAAGCACTCTTCTCGATAGCTACGCTTCCCTCTACCTTATCGGGAGCGCGGATCTACTCGACCTAGGAATATTCTATCTAACTTAAGGAGAGGAGGTCTTAGCCGGTATAACGACTTTTTAGATCACTGGCCGAGGCGTTCGCACGCTCTATAAGGTATTAAACACGCCGAGAGGTGCTCGAACGGGTAATTTAAAGCTTTAGGATATGGCAGTTATCGAAGGTTTCTACGTTAATATTATCTCGGAATAACTACTATATAAGACGGGCATCTAGTACTCAGGATACGACTGCACACTACGTTATGGCGCACTAAAGAATAGTATAGTAATCGCAAATCTAACAAAGGAGCATAATATTACTTTCCTTAAATATAAGCTAATTTCTCCTTACGAGCATACCTTAGTCAAAACCGCTACTCTAGTCAGATAAATAGAGCACCACACACGACCATTCAGACCGTTAGTTAACCCATTAAAGCCAAGGGAAGACGACTAGTATCTATGGCACCTTAGGGCAGGCTATCTTAGCAAGGAAGCTCTTAAAGCATTAGTTAAGAATACCCGCGGTGTGATTATTAAAGGAATAGAGCGCCGCGACTATGACGCCTGTGCTATAACGCACGTAACACGAGTAGTCTCAAGGCGCGAATCCGAATAGAGAGCAGCGTCCCTATTTATAAGGGTATTCTAGGACCTCTAGGATTATCCCACAAGCTACAATAATATAGAATAGGTGATAACTCTTAAGGATAATTATAGTAGTATGATCTACGTGCTATGCCTCCTAAACAAGCATTTAACCACCGTTTTTAATACTCTATTCTTCTTTAAGCGCTTTATCAGACGCTAATTTAGGGTGATGATTAGAGTGTTTAGAATGGATAATGAACGCGCTATAATCGCGATCAAAGGCCTCATAGCGTTCGAAAGATAGACGATCTAAGAAGGCATAGCTATAGAGCGCTCTCTAGCGTATACGAGCGAGCCTAACGGCGGTATAGAGCGCGCTAGGAAGGAGGTTATAGAAAAGAGTATTAAGATACTTAATAGCGCGAATTTGCCCACGAACCTCTAGCCAGAGAGTATCATAACCGCAGCTATACTACTTAACATCACCCTAAAACGTACACTAGGCTGGAAAGCACCGCGCGACAAGCTTAAATCGTGGTTTAAAGAGGTAAACATGCCACTAAAGGATATAAGCGTGGATACGCGGCCTAACTAGAATAGTATTTACGCCTATAGCTGCAAAGCATTCCCGCTTATAGTAGATAGGGCAGCAGGGCGCGAGAAGCGTTTATTTAAGACTAGCCCTAGAGGGCATATCGGATACCTCGTTGGCTATGTTATAACTAACGTGTTCCGAATATAGGTCCCTCGGCTTAAGAAGGTTATCGTGACTAGGGATATTACGTTTAATAAGCGGTGCTTCTACTAACCTTAGGAGGAAAGTTTGACGGAGCTTCCCGAAGTAACGTTTAATAACGTAATAGTAGAGGAGGATAACGATAACGATCTTTATCTCTTCTAGCATTCCCTACTAAAGAGCCTTACTTATGATTATACTACCGAGCGTTTAATATCGGGGGTAATAACGCTAGAACTAAAGGAGACTTCCGAATCGTAAGATAAGGAAGGATCTCAAACTCTCGGTTACCTATAAACCCTAGAGAGCACACTAGACCGCGACCCTAATCCACTAGAGCATATAATTATAGACGGAAGAGCTCGTAGCAGTAGTGATCGGACGAATAACGAGAATCCGGATATATAGTATCTCGAAATAAAAAGTCCGCCGGAGTAACTCCTATATACTCCGAGATCGCCTAGAAACGTATTAGAGCGGCCGGAGAGGGATTAGAGAGCTCGTCTAGGGGAACCCGAGCCCCGAGAGACGAGCACACTAGAATACTATCCTAAATAAGGCGAATAATCCTAACTAACAAGAGGTGCGCGGAGGAGCACTCGGAAGCGAAAGCCTAGGCTCCTATTCGAATAAGTATATGCCGTGATCTCGAACAATATCGGAGATACTAGGAAGGAATTACCTAAGCCACTCTAGGCGCTCGAGTACGAGAAAACGCGCTGCCTTACTATACTAGCTATGTTCGCCGTAGCTACGACTAAAAAGAGCGCCGCTCGGCTACGCACTAGAATATAAGGGAAGATCTATCGCGACCAACTAGTAAAGGTACTAACGAACTAGAAGGAAGCCTTGGCTTACCTACTAAGCGCTAAATAGCTCGAGGTAGTATTGCTCGAGATAGAAGCAATGCGCGCCAAAGGAGTCTGGCGCGAGATCCTATGCGCGGAGGCACGCTCGAGACCTTTGCCGCTTAAGTAGGTATTCTTATACAAGTTTAATTCTATAGGTATGTTAGAGCGCTATAAAGCACGTATTTGTATGCGCGGAGACCTATAAGAGTAGATTACGATATAATAGACCTATGCTACTACGCTTGCGGCACGGTTATTTCGTATCCTTATCGCACTGGCCGCTTACTTCGGCCTAGATATTAAATAATTCGATATTAAGATGGCATTTCTTAACGCAAAGCGCGATAAGCATGGTATACTAGTGACCTATAAGCTTCCACTAGGATTCAAGCAGCCTAATATATACGTGGAACTCGATAAAGCGCTATACGGGCTAAAGGACTTACCGATATTATGGTTTAAGGAATTCTCGTTAAAACTTAAAGCCCTCGGACTTATATAAAGCGCTAAGGAACCTTATATGTTCTATTCGCCTGCTCGAGACGTCTACGTTGTCTTTTTTGTGGATGATATGCTGGTCTTCTATCACCCCTCGCGACCCGCGGCAGCCGAAGCTATAATTAAGGGTATTAAGGAAGCCTATGATATTCACGATTAAGGTGATGCCGAGTGGTTCCTAGGAATCGAGATTATTCGAGACTGCATAGAATATACGATCTGCTTAAGCTATGCTTAGTATATCGAAAAGATAGCTATTAAATACGACCTCGTTAGCTCTATGAGTAACCTAACGATTCCTATCCCTATTATTGAATATCGGAAGAATGAAGAGATAGTAAGCGCGAAAGAGGTAAAACGCTATTAGGAACTTATAGGTTCACTGCTCTACTACGCTGTGATGATACGGGTCGACGTCGCCTTTATAGCCTTACTTCTATTAAGATTCCTACAAAACCTAGTACTAGAGCATTATAAGGCAGTATACTAAGCGATTAAGTACCTATACGTAACGCGAAGCCTTGCTCTTTGTTATAAACGGAGCACTATAGGAGGTGTGTTAGCTATCGCCTCGGATGCCTCTTTCGGCGATGATCTCGATACCCGAAAATCGTCTTAGGGTATGATTATTAGCCTCTTCGGCGGACCTGTGATCTGGAAAGCTACCCGGCAACCTACTGTGAGCACCTTAACTATAGAAGCAGAGCTCCTAGGGCTTGAATAGATAGCGAAGGAAGCTCTCGGTATGACTCGCCTATTCAGAGATATGTAGTTCGACCTAGAAGAAGAAATCGACCTTAAATATAATAACGCACAAACTATTCGCCTAGTGTGCTCTAAGAATATGCGAATAACGACTCGACTGCGCTATGTTAACATTTAGAACATGTGGCTACGTTAAGAGTTTCTGAAGGGCGCGTTCAAAGTTATATATCTTAATACGAAGGAAATGCCGGCCGATGGTCTAACTAAGGCATTACCCCGTTAGAGATTTCAAGAATAGAGAGCGATGCTTTAACTATATGATACGAGCATATGAGGAGAATAGTTAAAGAGTGTGAAGCGGAGGCAAACGATTCTTTTAGGAGCACTAGACCAGCTAGTCTTCTGCTCTAAGAGCATACTACCAGACTATCTACTGCTCACTAGGAGCCTTAGCCAACTATCTATGCAAGTCGGTAATTATCTAGTGCGCCTTAGCGCGCGAAGAAGGCACGAGCGCTGCTCGGGGAGTATTGCTTGGCGGGGCGGGAGTCCTCTCGGCCTCGGATAAAAATCCTTCACCCTTGTACATTTCGTTAAGGGCGCGCAACGCCTTTCGGCAGTTGGCAAGGTGCTGTATAAAGCTTTATTAGCCAAGAACGAGTAAACAAACGCTAGGACTAAAGTTCATGCTTACGGCGGGGGAGGAGCCGGAGGTATGCTACTTTATCTATAGTAGAAAAACGGACGGTCTATAGTCTGTGGTTAGCAAAGCTCGAATTTCAAATATAGAGCATTGCTAGACTTATAAAGGAGTGTAGGTATGGCTTGCGGCGTAGCGTTAATAGCGCTTAGCGCGCTGGGAGGAGGGCTCGTGATATTCGAGGGTAGATTTGCCCGAGATGAATGCGCGAACGTATTAAAGGCACGGTGGGTGCCGGAGAGTACCTTCGAAGGGAGGGCGTTACTTTATAAGCGTTTGAGTAAGACGAGCAAAGCGCGAAAACTCACCTTTTAACGCTTCTTAGGCGTCTTAATCTCGTCGTTATTATTATCGTCGTCGTCGTCGTTAGCGCTATCGCGAGCGTTAGTCTACTTCGCGGCCTGCTCGGCGGCTAGCCGCCGAGCTTCCGCTACTTAGGCGCGGGTCTGGGTAAGGCGCTCGTAAGATAGAAGAACTATTCGCATACGTTAGCTAAGCTCGTAAAACTTAAACTAAGCGTATTAAACGTACGGGCAGGTATAATAAAAGTGGTATAAAGAGGAAATATTAAATTCCGGCCTTAAGTAGGGGAATGCGACTCTCTTATATACTTTCGGCCTCTTACCTTAATGCTCTAAAAGTATTATTCGAGTTATAAATAGCCTATTAAGGCCTTAATAACCATTCACGAATAATAGTAATTAAGGGCATTACCATATCACTGACGCTACCTATAGGACCTAATAATATTAGATCAACCCACATAAGCACTATAGCTATTAGAACAATGCTCTAACGCCTTAGATAAAGCAGAGACCCCACCTTAGAACCCCACTAATCAGCAACGACAATAACACTCGCGTGGTTAAATAACCACATAAGTGGGGGGTGTGTGATAATGAGCCTACCTTATAGCGGGGCTAGGCTCGATTGAGATTCTGCCGTTAGCGGTGAAAAGGTAATACCGGAAGGGTGAGAACCTGAAATTAGTGAGACCGGAGGTAAACGACCCGGAATATAGGAAATTAGAGAGGAAGGCTCTAAGAGGATAGGATCATGCGATTAAGAACGCATAAATAGAGCCTCAACGGCTATCTCTTTTGTAATAATACAAGGCACTTGAACAACCTTCTCCACAGCGCATCACAGACTCGCATTCGAACTTTGGTCTACCGCTCAGTCAGGTCGCCATTTGGCTTACCCTAAAGACATCGTACTCATGGTAGCCACAGGTGGCGCACACAACGACATCGCAAGCCTCAGCCACAATTCAAACCCCAGTCACCAAAAGTTTCACTCGTAGCATGAATTCATCACAAGACTCACATTCACTTCACAATGTCGACCGTAAGTTTCATTCATCCTAGCTCTAAGGCTGTCTATTCACTTTGAATCTATGAATTGTCCCAGTCTGAATACTTGAGGACTAACCCGGTCAGGTTGACCCCAACATGTTCCGCGTCCCCGCTGCCCGCGCCCTCACCGTCCTCGATAGATCACTGTTCCATACCACGCTACCCGTGGCCGCCGCTCTGGTCAACGACAGCCGGCAGCTCTCTAGGTTGAGGAAGGACCTGGATAAGACCCGAGAGATTCTGAATGTGGACAAGGTGAAGCCCGTGGTTAGCCACCCTGACCCGGAGAAGGCAAAGGGTGGCTTGAAGGCATTACTTCTTCAGCCGGATGTGAAACCAGGAGGTCAGTTATACAGACTTCTTTCTACTGTATGAATGATTGCTAACGGCTATAGCCCCCGAGAGTTGGAGTGCTGTGCTGAAGCAGGCCAAGGAGGCGGGAGACGTTGATCTCATTCCCTACTCCGTCCAGCTAGACTACTACCACTTCCAGTACCGTACGCACAGTCCCTAGGAACAGTCCCCCCAGTCTCAGTTGCTCACTCATATCCGTAGTGGACATTCTCCGATCCATCATACCCGAAGAGCTCCACGACGAGATCCCAACAGGCTTCAACAGCGTCGGCCACGTTGCTCACCTCAACCTACGTGAGCAGTACTTGCCCTACAAGCACATCATCGGCCAGGTCATCCTCGACAAGAACGCCCATCTCAAGACAGTCATCAACAAGCTGTCCAACGTCGGGACCGAGTCCGAGTTCCGCACCTTTCCGTACGAGGTCCTGGCCGGACCGGACGACCTGAACGTCGAGGTGAAGGAATCCGGCTGCATCTTTCAGTTCGACTACGGCACCGTCTACTGGAACTCCAAGCTGAGCACCGAGCACGAGCGGATCGTGGATCTCTTCCAGCAAGGGGACGTCGTGGTCGACGTCATGGCAGGCATAGGCCCGTTTGCCGTGCCCGCGGGCAAGAAGAATGTCTTTGTGTGGGCCAATGACAAGAACCCCGAGAGCTTCAAGTATCTCGAAAAGGCCATTGACAAGAACCGCGTCGGCTCGTTTGTGCGGCCCTACAACGAGGATGGTCACGAATTCATCAAGCAGTCCGCCGATCTAGTCCTCGCCGCCTCCGGCAACGGCGAGTTCGGCACCATCCCAGGGCCCAAGCCGTCTCGCAAGTCCAACGCGCCGCCGCCGGCGCCTGTCAAGGTCCCCATTGCGCCCGTGATATCGCATTTTGTCATGAACCTCCCCGCCTCGGCGCTCGAGTTCCTGCACAACTTCCGCGGTCTCTACCATGGACAGGAGAGTCTCTTTGCGCCCCACACGCAGGCGCAACTCCCCATGGTCCACGCGCACTGCTTCGCGCCGAAACCCAACGACGAAGCGGCCGTGCAGACAGCGCTGGACAGAGTGGAGAAGGAACTCGGCGTGAAGCTGGTGCAGGGCAATGGCGAGGTGGAAGGCCAGGCGACCGTGTACGATGTACGAGATGTTGCCCCGCAGAAGCTCATGTTCTGCGTGAGCTTCCGACTGCCCAAAGAAGCGGCCTTTGCGCCGAGGACATAGGACGCTGGTTCGGGTACACAAAGGTCAGGTGCCGAGATGGGCGGCGGTCACTGCGCAACACCGCAGCCTGGCCTGCTGCCCGTCGCCTTATCTGCAGCTGCGAGCAGCGGTTGCACCCGGTTCCCTTGTGTGTGCACCACGCATTGTGATGTGGCAGAGCACCCCGTCCGTGCGACCGGTCAATAGGGAATGCAACAAAGAGGTACCACCTGCACCTCCTGGCCAAAGCGGTGCCGTCGACCATTTGGGGCATGCAGCCCAGCTGTGGGCGAGGTCGCGCCACGGCCCAGCCTGCATTCCAAGTTGTGGGCAGGATCAATGTCACCCAGTAGAGTATCGTCACCTGTGACTTTTTGCATCTGTGTGGCGCACGGTAGGCAGAGAACGGGGTCGATGACGTGCAAGTGTCGCGCGCGCGGGCACATGGTCCATGGACTGAGGCACGTTTGAAGGCCGCGTTTCGACAGCGGGCGACTGGAGCTGATGGTGTGGCCAACAAGAGAAGAGGGGAAGAAGCTGCTGCTATGAGAGAGGTCCTCGAGGTCTTTTGCATCTTCCTCCACTGCCTCGATGGCCATCTTAGCAATGTGAGCTTTCCATTGTCTCGGGTGCACATGGCATCGCCTCATGTCTCATCGCCAATGGCGACTTGTGCTTGAGGGAGCCTCATTACTACGTACCAGCTTTCAGCAGAACCCTGTAGACCAAGAATAGCCACAGGCCAGGGGCATGGCAGATCACTCATAATTAACCTCTTGCCCAGACCGTTCGAGATGACCCCCACCTCCAACAGACGGTCTCGTCGATCGGATTGTGATCACGGCATTGCCAGACTCTAGGGTGCGAGCAATTGAGCAATCAATGTGCTGCTGCTGCTTCTGCTGCTGCTTTGCCAATCGCTGATTTCATGCACTGCGACAAAGAGGGTCCCTTGTGAGTTGCCTGCCCTGATCTTCACGGCCAGACAATCGCCGCTGCTCAGCCTCAAGACACACTCCCCCCTCCACCTTGGCCTAGGTATCATGCCGCCGGGACTACATCGGGCGTGGCCGTGGGACAAATGGGCGCTACGACCCTGATTTCTTTCCCCTTGATCCGTCCCATAGCTGGATGGGTGGGAGGGGTGGGATCGAGGCCAGGGCCAGGCGTGCTCATAAGGTGTGGTGAAAACTCTGAAGCGCTGTCACTGTGAATAATTGACATGTCCATTTCATATAAGGGCCGAAACACACGAGATCCAAAAGGGCCTCGCGGCAAGGTAGGGTAAGTACATATTGATATTTGCGCGATAAACTCTGTACATATCATGGTCACCAACCGAGCACACGCCATTGGCGAGTCCACATAATAATATGTGACTTGGCGCGCTTTGCAGGAAAGCCCGGCGTACGCCGCATGCATACACATGCAAAGACTCTGACAATGGATTGCCAAGTTGCAAAGGAGCGGCGGGCACGGCTGGTCCGCCCAAAGTCTAAGGCAAGGTATAGAAGCACTGGCGGATGGAATGGCCCATGTTCATGGACGCGTCCAAAGCCGTTCGCGACGCCGCTGCGCCATCAATGGTCAATCTTCACCACGAGATTCTCGAGGCGCCTACGCGGCCGGGGTCTGTGTTGGTTTGCAGGACCCGACGCAGAGACGGTAGCATTGCAGCGTCAGAGAGGTGTGTGCAGAGATGCACGACATTCGATGAGTCGGCATCTTGCGTGCTGGGCCTGTCACCCATCCTGATTTTCAAGATGCTGAACGAAATGAATAAATAAATAGGAGAATTGCTGTCTCCACTGTTGATAGTGCAAGACGCGAACACCAGATTGTTCTCGATCCTTGGCCGCGCTGCGCGGTATGATGCGGGTGTGATGGAGCATTGTCGTTATTCGCCGCCTTTTCTTGATTCTACAAAAAGTGCCATGCCGCATGCGTCGTCGTCAATTGCCCGCGCAGCAGATAAGACGCCGGACGCCGGCAAGATAAGATTGGGACGGTCGGTTGGCGCGAGCAGCTATCGAGATCGCTGCTCTTCTCCTTGTTGTTGGCATTGTGCCAGTAAATAGTACGTTACGCAGTCGTACGTAGCAGGAAGACATCAGGAGCGTGCAGTGCCGGCATGCCCGTAGCGCGCAAGTCAGCAAGGTGCTCGACATGAATTACTGTCCATGATGACCTGGGCTAGGTAATGAATCGTCAACAACGACGATTTTCGCGGCGTGTTGGAATGAAACACTGGATGCGAGACGCCAGGACGCAGAAATCAAGCTTTGTTACCTCCGAGCGGCTGTTAGCGGCTGCTAGTAGGCCAGACTAGGGGGTCATGCAGAAGAGTGGTGTTCTACATGCATGCATGGGCGCTGCGCACTGCTGCTGGTGAGACTAATAAGACGCCGCGAACTTCCGCGATCTTACGCGAACGTGTGCACGGGGGCGCCCAATGAATGGCCTGCCACAAGCCATGCCTCTTCCCGGTTCGGTGCTCTTCTTCGATGGCAATCTTCGGGGGGCGCGGGCGTGATCGATGGGAACGTCGTGAGGAGCGGATAGTTACGTGTGGTAGAACGGAAAATGAGGTAAAATTACATGTATCATTTGAAGCTTGACGTGGCTGGCGACAAGAAAACACAAGAAGAGACCAAACGCCGAAATAGTTAGAGGCCCCTCGTGCAACGACAGGTTCTGAGCATTCTAGAATCCACCTGCAAGAGCATTAGGACAATCTTCGCTAGTAGCAGCCTGGGTTGATGTTGCGGTGCTGTTGAGGTCCCCGTCGGCTGTTGGGTGCAGGGTAGTCTGGTATCAAGTAGAGAGTGCGCGCTGGCCGGACGTTCCCGGTGAGAATCTATGATCATCTACCAGGTCATTGCGTCTTAATATAAAACTTAGCTAATATCACGTAGTAGTATTGTCAAGCATTCCTTGTTGGTGTTGGCCGGCTCCATGATCCAACCACCAACTTGCGAATTGCTCATCATGTACGTAACGTAAAGCCGTGCTTCGACAATGCGGATATTGGCTTCGTCACATCTCATCAACGTGGCTGACCTACCTAGGCTTTATCACTATCGCGGCTGGTCCAATACGCTCAATACTTGGGTGATTACGTAGATATTGCGAGTCGAATGGCAGCACGCACAACAACAGTGATCAACAACAAAAGAAAGGTTCGGTGCAGTGAATAAAGCCAGATCCACGAAATCCCCACGCACTCGATGGGGGATCGGCGCCGATTCTTGCAGGAAATCTGGGCACCTGGATTAGACCCTGGATTTTCCACGAGGTTCCCCCCTTCCACCGAGGGGCGATCTGGTTGGCCGAAACGCCTTGACCGACCGCAGGACAGAGACGGTCCATCGACGTAGTTAGTGTGACGGTATGGCTTGCAACGGCTCGGTCTAGTGGAAGAAGGCAGCTGTGATTGCATGTTGATACCTTGAGGTATCTTTACAGGTACGATGTATTGTGCGCCCAATTAGTATTCGTCCTTGCTCCGAACTTCTCCGCGTTCCTCCCACACTCTGCACTACGTCTGCTCATGGGCACGCGGCCCGTCGTGCTCTTGCTGCTTGCCGTGGAACCGGGGAAGATGAGGCGGCCGGTTCGCAAGGAGACGGCGAATGCTTCATTGATGTCTGGCGCGGTGCTAGAACACTTGTTGTACTGCCGCTCGTGTTCAGCAGCAGGCACGGCGACTGGCATGATGGCTACGTAGTAGAGGCAACCCACCCACGGCCGCCGGGGCGACAAGCGCTCCCGCCAGGACTCTAGTGGAAGGGCTTGTAACGGAGTAATGTAGGTCATTCCTCGGAACCGTACGGAGCACGTAAAGAGCCGTGTGTAATGTGGGAGGAGGAGTGAGTCGCTGGTCATATCTCTCCGACCGGAAGATTCGCTCGTCTGCCTGCTTGCGCTGCATGCGGAGTAATTAGGCCATTCCTGCCGCTTGGGTTTCTATATCTGTACGTAGCTTTCGCAAGCCGAGATAATGAGCCGCATCAATGCATACATCGATGCCGACAGGATATGGGTTCCCACCATGGCAGAGTCGAGAATTGTCGGTGGCCCAGTTTTCGCGTCGCAGTCGGGTGGAGAGACAAGGCCTTCATTGCTCGGTTGGTGAGTGAGGCACGCCCAAAGCAAGCAAGCAACATTGAACAAGCCAGCAGGCCAGGGCGGTCGGGGAACCGGGGGTTCGCCCGTCCAGCCAGTCACAGAGCGCGGCGCAACCTCCACGCGCCAAGCTTTCGATGGGACACAACTCAACCGAGCGGCCACGATGGCTGGCTGCGGATTTGGCGTGTCCAGTCCAGTTATCTGCTGCCTTCCAAACATGTAGTCCCAGTGCCATCTATCCGCTGCACCTTCACCCTCCAGTCTACACAAGTACCTGTGAGCTACATCTAGTCTGTGAGATAAGACTGGAGGCGGGCAGCTCTTGCCTTTGGCGGTGCCTTCCACTGCCATCCACACTACACTAGCCTCTAGGCGGGGGCGATTTCGCCTGGGCTACGGATTGTACATGCCCCCGCCTAGATCCAATGATGCTCACTGTAGGTGGACGCGGCCCAGGCGCCGCGCACCGCCTGCTTGGATGACTTACAGTGCTTGCAGGTGCTGCAGCGGGCACTGGACGCTTCTGCCTGGAACTAGCCGAACCCTGGATGTATCCCAGTCGGTACATGTACCTTACCTTACCTTTTCGAAGCTCACGCCTCCCTTCCTGCGCTCAGTTCACCTCACCCTAATCCTGTCCATATCATAACCCCTTCCTTTCCTTCCGTCCCTCCTCACCTTTTGGTGCTTGCCCGTTCATCTATCTGCGTTTCCTTTCCTCTCAACTGTCAAGCATATCCTCTCCATTGCCCCCTTCTCGTTGATTCCCCCTCAATCGATGTCTGTTCCTCACCGTGGTCTCTTCTTGTCACGTCACTTGCACCTGGATCATATCGAATCGAATCATCAACAGGGCGAGCATACAAACCCCCACGGACGGCCTCGAGTCACCGCCTCCAGGTTCCAGTCCTCATCAGGAGCACGCAACGCCCCCGCGAACCCTGCTGGTCTAGTCTCAGCTAGAATCCCGCACCATTCATTTC